ACAACAAATGACCTTGTTTTCAGTACCAACCTTTTTAACAGTATGTCAGCAAGCCTCGAGATCTGATCCCTCTCTCTTGTAGCTGTTTCAATGTTAGCAAGCAGTTCTGTTTATTCAAAGACCTTAATGATGATTTGCAATTCTTACCCTACTGAACCTTATGTTCAGCTGCTTTGTTAATGGAAGATGTAGTTAAGGGTGACTGACTCTTTCAATAGGTCAACATTTCAGAGTCAAGTTAAGATGCCCCTATTTTGACCTGTCCAGTATACTACCATCACTGAAATAATATGGAAATAGTTACATAAAGATTTAAATCGAAAAGAGAGATCGGTAACAAACAATGTTCTAACAAATAAACCCAGTATTGTTAAAAGCTGAAATAAGACAATGGCAAAAAAGGCAGCAAAATATTCGTTCATCTTAAGAGCTGGGCAACACGGCCAGCCTGTTTTTTAGTTAACGTACACTGAGCTAAATAACCGGGATTAGTAGGTGATAATGTCCTTGTGTGCACGAAACGTTTAAACGCTATACAAGACAAACCAAACTGTCTTTAAACAGATGACGGTGTAGCTCTACTGTTGTTGGTTTCAAACAAAATTAAAAAAAACAATTTCATATCGCGTAACAGGTATCCGCCAAACGTCATTTAACTTAAAGTGCGCCTTAGTTAAACTTTAAACAGTAAATTAAAAGGAGACAGCTGACTTTTTTGGGGAAAACCGCCTTTCTTAACTGATGTTATTGGATCCTTTTTAATGAAAAAAATGCGCTGTAGAATTACTTTTAAAACCACTGAGCATGTTCCTCGCCTAAAGCTAATAATAGGCATCGTCCGAAAAGAGTGGCGGGGTTATCGGTTTAATTTTGTAGTTAGTAGTGCTAAAATCTTAAATATTGAATAACCCTTGGAATACATTGCCATAATAACCGCGAATGACGAAACAACAGTCATTTTGAGTCAAGCAATCACTGTATAAGGGGACAGGTTCACGGTTCAGCGCTTGCCCATTTATCAAAATGCTGTTTTTCTGCTGGGACATGCTGTATCGTCTATGCATGTGATATGATCACGTCATAATGTTGCAAAGAACCAATCTCCACACTTCCCTGGCAGTCACTTGCACTTGATCAACTTAAATATTTGCAAACAGCTGTAAATTAATCACCCATGGAATAAAACCTTCAACGTTGGTAGTGTTGGCATAATGCACTAATTTTTTCTGCGATTTTAGTACTCCTCCATTCTACTTCAGGTTACTCTGAAATACACTTCTACTTTGAAATACACTCTGAGATCGCTGAGATACATGTGAGTGGGATTATTAACCGATAGAATTCATAATAAATTGGTAAAAAGTAATTTAATTAAGGAGCATGCGCTTAACCGTGAACCTGTTCCTTTAATCTAACTTAACAAAAGTGCCGCTATGTCTTTGCATAAAAGGCGCATTTCAAGGCCGTGAAAAGAAAAGAAAATTTTCTGGTTTTAATTATTTATTTATTTATTATTCATTCAAAATATTTCCCCGATTCTGATTGGCTAAAAGCACACGCATAATTCACCATAACCAGTTACTGATGACCAAATTTGGAAGAATTTTGTGTTTAACGAGGAAATGACGTCAAAAATGCAGTGTTCTTGCAGGTTGATGCACCGTTAACCCAGAAGACCTGGGGACGAGGTTGAGTTGTTTTGGTTTTCAAAACAAAAAATGGCGGACATTTCACTCGTTTCAAGAGTAAGAACTAGGCGAAATTATGGTTAAAAACATGGCAAGAACACAACTCGAAGGGCGACAGGTGCTATTTGGAGAATATTTGCGGAGCTGAACAACCCTAAACGTGCACTATCGAAGGTGAACTTAATATCGATGGAGGTAAGCATGTTTTAGCTTTGTTTTTAAACTAGGAATTATTTTGAATGAATAATAAAACAATTATTGAATTCGGCTTTTGTATCACATGTAGAATTATGGAGAACTCGGAGAGTGTTATCCGTCGAGGCCGTAACACCCTCCTCGATCTCCGTAATTCTTCATAACATACTCAGCCTCATTCATTAATTGTCAATTATGTGTTTAAAAGATGGTGTATTGGGTAAAAGGATTGAATTAACTTCAAAAACCGTGGACGAAGATCTTGCTAGTTGTAAACGTTGGATCTCTAGAAAAGAGATCTAATCAGCCCAAACATAAGGAACCAAGAACGAGAAGTCCAAAGACTACTGCAAAGCTGATTTAAGACAACGTGTATTGTTTTTTATAACAATATCTCGGCTGGCCATACCAGCCTTCTTCAGGTATTGGTATTGTATTGGGTACCATTTTTCAATGGAAGGTAAATGAAAGGCGTACCTTTTTTGTCAAAAATGGAAAATAAAAGTTTAAGCCCCCCACCCCCGTTAAGGGATTGGACCTCGGCGGCGGAGCCTCCCCGTGTAACATTTTGTTCAGTAGCCCCGGGCCTCATTTGCAGGAACAGAGACTTTGTAAACAGAAACCTTCGTAGTTGTAGGCAGTCTAAGGTTTTTGCTGTCCCCGATTGCCACTTTCATAGCGCTTATCCTGTCGGCAAAATTATTTAGGGTGACACGACAAACAGCACTTTAAATGTGTCATTATTATGACTTTAATAACTATGGGACAGGTCAAGAAAAACTTGATATGTACAATACTACTTTACAACAAATATTTCAAATGTGCGACACAAAATTTATAATCACACGTAGTAAATTCATATTCTTGGCCGTGAAACTATGATAGCTTGTAGTTGAGGTTAACGCTGGAGAATATCATTACTTAACGTAAAACGGAAAATGTTTTAATATTCTACGAGTTTACCGGCACAATAAACCATCGGTTTTTAACCAATCAGACAGAACGCCCGTATTATCTTGGTTATTTTAGAAAATGAAATAAATGCATGCAAGAAAGTCGCCGCTCATTAGCACGTGTAGTTTCATCACAGAGAATACGAATATCTTATTCACTTGAATAAGCGCCGCAAACCCCGAAATAGTCAAAATAAGACGTCAATTCTGTTAGTTTAACATGGAAAATAACAATATCTTAGTTACAACAACTCTTTGTCGCGTCCAACTTTCAAATAAACGCCGCCCTCAAATAGACGCCGTATTTGGGGCGTGGAAAATTTTATAAGCGCTTATTCGAGTAAAACTATAATGCGAATGTTGTCAACGTTCTGTCTGGCTGACGAAAAGTACTGCGAACAACTTGTAACCGGTTACTGGGAGGTTCAAGAAATCAAAGACGCAAATCGCAATTCCACAATTAGGTTAAACGCGATTCTTACAAATGGCGTCAGGCTAGCGTCATGCGTGCTGGTAGTAAGTGCACCCTCGTCAGCCACACCCCACTTTACAAAAATTATACATTGAAAACATATAGGTAGTCATTTCATCGAATTTGAACCAGATCTCTTCAAAGCCATTTACAAACGCAGTGATTAAAAAACGTCCATAAATTCTCTTACTAAAGGCCGACCTAATATACGAGGAAATGCAGGTATTACAATGAAACGCATGTATAAACTACAAATTCCCAACAGAAAAATGTACCCTGGGGTGGGTACTGTATTATCGTCAATCGAACCTCCATGTGCAGCCACCTCTCGTAAGCGACCGCCAATCCAAAACACCAAAATTTTCCCAGTCATAGCCTTACAGTTAGAACGTCTGGTAAACGACCACCTCCTGTAAGCGACCGCGACCTTTTTCGCGGCCTGACAGTTAAAGATTTTCCTTTGTTTTTAACCTCTTGTAAGCGACCACTTGACGCATTCTCTGATCTCTATTGTTCACTGTATGCACTATGCTACTTAGAATATACGAAGAACTTAAGTGACAACACGGAACTAAACATGGCGTAACTTAGACATTGCATGCATTAAGGTATCTTCCATAAAGTAGATGTGCTTGGACTATAGTTCGATTCTTGTAAGCGACCACCTCCCGTAAGCGGCCACTCAGTCTTTGCATTTCTGGTGGTCGCTTACGGGAGTTTCTGCTGTACATTACAAGCAGCTGTTACGTACACTCCTATCTTACCACATGTTTGAAAGGTTGAGTATCACGTTTACGTCAAACGGCAAACGCGAATTTTTACCACGTGACCAAGTTTAATTTTTGTTCATCATTCCTATACACAAATTAGTAATCTCACGCAATTTTATCCATAAGAATTGTTTTGAGCTGTTTTATCTGCTCTTTTTCTATTTTGAGAAATTCTCAAACTGAATTTTTCAAACGTCAGGCTGACGTTTGCCGTTTGCTGTATACGTGAAGCTAAAACTCTCTAAAATTCCTATGTAGACTGGTGGCTGACATAAGAAAAAAAAGCTTATTTTGTAAGAAGTGTGATTACCGCACTAAAATGTATGATTATATGTACATTTTATGATCACAAGTCAAATATGTATAGAGCGTATGTATTTTAAATGCGCTTAAAGGAGAAAGAAAATGCCAGCATGGATCCAGGAAAAATTGACAGTTTTTTAAGAAACCCGAGCTGCTCCAAACGTACCAGTATCAAGCGGAGAATCTGTTAATTTGATTTCCCTAAAAGAATGGCTGTTACTTCTTTTTATAACTAAGCTGAAACAGCTGACCTGTTTATGGCAAGTATTGTCTAAAAAATAACGGACAGTTTCGAAACATTTTACAAGAAACTTTTACTTTCAGGGAATCAAATCAACTGACTCCGTTCATAAATACATTAACAGCTATATAAATATTGGTGTTTTTAAGTACTCTTTAACAGCTAACGTAAAGTTTACATATGCGATGCAAGCATGGACTAACTGAAACCTAATATAGACACCTATAATTCGTAGCTTATGGAGTCGCCCAATGTTACCTCGTCCCCAGGCCCTTTGCAGTAAAAGGAGACGGGAAAAACAAAGACCCTGGGAACGAGATGTGTAGAGCTTATGCTTGCATAACATGTGTAACCTAGACAACAGAAGAATCCACCGTTCTAAATATGCCAAAGACAAGTGCAGCATTTTACAGGCTCATAGCAAATTCCTCGCCGTTCACGTCGGTTGAGAACAGAATCTGGCCACAGATAGTTCATCAACCAAAACGGGAGCATGATGACCAGAAATCCTGTAAAACAACAGAATTTTTGTATTGAGTACAGTTTATAATGGGCAACGATGAAGTAGTCTTCTTCGCAGACGTTATTAGGGTCGTCACACAACTCTCCTCCCCACCAGTAGGGAAGAGCGTTACGTGACGACCCTAATAACGGCTGCGAAGGAGACTAGCGATGAAGAGCATAACACACTTACTGTAAAACCGCATACCTAAGTGCGGGTGCGTTGGGGAAAAGTAGGGGGTGGGGAGTTAGAGAAGGGGAATCCCTTCCTACTTCCACGTGCACCCGAACTTCTACTTTTCTATTCCCCTTCGAACGCCTCCAATGTAGAATAGGATACTAGGATCGGGCTAGCCTAAAGTGTGTGCATTAATGCGATATCTATTTATTCATATGCTTCACTTTCACCTTTTAAACCCGTAAAATCTCAAATCTCGTGTTACGCGATTGTTAAAGCGGTAATAAAAGGAGGATATCGATTTGGGGTAGGAGGCCCTTGGACTTTGTGACGAACAAAACCGCGCGGTAAAAAAGGCCGTGCTTTCATGAGAGAGAGATTAACTTCGCTTAACGGTAATCACAATTTGTATTTCTCAGTTACGTTCTTTACACGACTTATTAACCAAGGTGGGAGACAAACAACCGAACGTTTATGCGAGGAAGTATACGCGGCAGGGACGAAAAATTATTATGTCCTCACATTTTTCACTTGTGGACTGTTGGCATCTATACGTTGAAGCAAATTCTGTGTTCTAATTGACTTTCCAAGCGGCCAAGAAGGGTCTTTATATGTGTTGTGGTTCAATTTTATCCTTGGTTTAAAATTTATTTTCCTTTGTTTCAAAGAAATTCATTATCATGGGGATACATTATCATACCCAAAAACAAAAGAGCATAAAATTAAAACCAAAGATAAAATTGAACCACAACATACACCTAATTGCATTTACGTTGTTATAAAAAAAGCAAAAGACAAATAAAAATAGACAAATAGGAATTAATTAGTGTAGCCATGCAAAACACCTTTTGATAATTCGATAATCCTGTAAACACATTTGCAGTACTTTAATCTGACATCAGTTGAGTTAAGCAAAGTTTAAATGGCCACTGATGTTTTCTGTTTCATTCTTTAGTCTGACATCCCTGATTGTAGTGAGAGTGCCTAATTCAGTTTTTTGTAATGCTCTGTGACAACGTTATTGCAATTAGGTGTATATATATTTGTTATTGTTAGTGTGAGGTCAAGATTGATATTGGGTAAGTTCTTTTTTGCGTTTTTATTGACTGAGACGAAATCGACGCCAATAAATACGCAAAAAAAGGAAGAGGCCAATATAGACTGAACAAGCTTGGTCAATAGAGAGGAGAAGTGTGACGTCACGTTACCATGGTAGCAAAATTTTTCATATAAAGAGGGGTGAGAACAAGAGCTTTGAAACTAGTATTTTTTTTCTAACTCCATCACGCTTCTTTTATCTCTCAGCTTAGATTTCAAAAAAGTAAATTGTTCCCTAAGACCACCTAGTACGCCACTGTTACAATTAGACCACAATTTACACAATGTAAGCTTATTATTAAACTCAACCAGTGGCCTTGGTGTCTCCTATACGTCTCACAAAACAGCAACTATACAATCTTTAACAAATTCGAGCACTGCAACAAGTTAAACTCATCACTAAAATTTAATCATACACGGGTACAATGTACAACATCTCCATGTACCAGTTTTTTTTAGACTATTTGCCTAACGAGATAGAAGCTCAACACACGTGTCAAACCTACCCGTTGTAAGAAGAGCAAATATCCCAAATGACAGACATAAATAGTACAACTCAGGAGCATATCCTTGCTAAACAAGAGAAAGAACAAAGGAGAATTATTCACAGTGACTTTAATAGTGTACCTCGCTGCAATGTCAGGATATGTTAGCAATAGGCCATGTGACTGGAAGTTTGCACTATCTGAGGTGCTGTGTTCAGCGTTTCAGCAAAGAAAGTAGTGTCAGATAGCCCGGGGCTAGTGGATTTTGCTATCTGGCTAGTGAATTCTGCTTTTAACTTGCTCGACGAGCAAGTGATGTTTTTTGAGGAATCTGAATAACAGAAGAACTGTGAAATCAATTCTGCTCGTCAAAAAACTTTTGCCATGGGGCTAGTTGAAATGACTTGTGGGCTAGTAAATGCTAGCTTCAGCTTGCCCGAATGACAAGCTGTAAAAATGATTTTCTTTGCACCCTGTGTGTTTGAGAATGGGGCCTGGGTGTTTTTGAACGGGTTGTGATCCAGTATTTTTCGTTTCTTGGGGAGCTGGGACCTAAATTTGTAGGATTTGCTTTGGTATTACTATTAAATTGCATTAGGCCACTTTCCCTCTACTTTCAAGATCCTTCAGGGTTTTTCTGGGGATTTTGTTATGTAAACTTTGCAGGGAGAACCAAAATTAATAAACTCCATTTTATTGGCAACTATTGAGAACACCTGGGATTGTGAGGATGTTCCCACTTCCTGCATGCTTATATAACTTAACAAATGCACTTGGCATACACTTGACTCCTGATAACTCAAACCTCGTGCTAACTCGAACTAAAGTTGATTTCTCTTGGATTTCCTTTACACATTTACTGTAATTTTACCCATGATAACTAGAACCTCCCGCAAACTCGAAGTAATTTTTGTTTCCTTTCAAGTCATTTCTACATAATTTTACCCTTGATAACCCGAACCATGCTTTAAGCGCATAAAAAGTTGGAAAAAAAAACATTGTACTGAAGTCTGAAAAATTGAATTTAGAGAGATTAAGCATCGCATTTACTGCAACTGTGAATTTGTACCATGTGACAAAGTTTTCCATAATTATTACTTATCATTTACAGTTCATTATAACTACACGAAAATCCATAGGTTCACACTAATTCTTTCCATATCTGAAAATTTTACAACTAGAATCTTATGTTTGCCGGTTGCTGTAAACACAATGCTTTATCTCTCTTTTATTTCAAAACAACCATGTCAATTCTTTGTCCATCCCTCTATATTAATCAAGATTTGTTGCTTAATTCCTTTTTAGAAATAACAATTTTTATGTCATCCAATGCTGCCTTTGAAGTAGAGAGTGCATGACACTTGCATTCCCTCCCAATCCATTTGCTTCTTTCCCTGTTTCCAGTTCTTTGCCTCGCACTCGAGTTCCTGATCACTCAAACTTTTTTTGGTCTCCCTAGAAGGTTTGAGTTATCGGGAGTCAAACTGTACTTTTTAACTCTAAGGTTCCCATAAAAAACAACAACAAGAAAACACTCACACATAATTCAGAGGCAAATGTTGATGCAAACAGTACCATGCCAAGAATGAGGGATCCAAAGCCAAAGAAATGAAATGCAATCTTAAGCTGCCATGGCACAGGTTCCATGATTGCGAATAAAAATGTAAAAGCTGAGAGTAAAAATAAAAATGGACCTGCATTGACTCCACATGTTGCTGCACAAGTTCATGTTACAGTATTTATGTACATGTATAATATAAGCAAAAACACATGCTATGACTACCCCCTTTCCCCTCCCCAAGGGAAAAGCAGCCCCCACCCCTCTCCCCCAGACAATGTTGTTCTTTGTTGAGTAAGGTCAAATGAAAATAACAATGGATAGTGTATTTTGTAGAATGGCATGTCATGTGCATGTTGTGATTAAACAAGGTGTTTAGTTGGGTTGCACTTCACTTCAGAAAGCTGCATGCACTCTACAACATTGAAACCAGAGGGGATTAAAGAGGAGGGGGTGCTGCAACTACCATGCAGCACAAAATTAGCGATTTTTTGTGTTTTGCAGGAACTAATTTTCGCGATTAGGACAGATTGATTTTTCTTGCTGAGAATTAATTTTTACAATTTTTAGAAAGTACTCAGAAGATAGCATTGATGATATTTTCACTTTTATTGAGTATGTGTGATAGAAATACATATTTTCAAGCAATAAACCATTATTTCATTGTTTGTGAATGAAAGAGACAAGTTTTGATTGAACAGACATGATTTCTTAGTACTGTATTTTTGTGTAGCGAATTTAAGTTAGAGAATATTTACTCTGGAGTAAATTTTAGCAGGAAAAATGTTTGTGGTAATTTTAATTTGTGGGAACTTATTTCTGCAGATCGCTGGAAGAATCGCAAAAATTATAACCCTCAAAAATTTTGTGCCACACGGTAGCTTCCAGGATATAGCACAAAGGACGGGATGTAATGAAGTGGTGAGCGATAATCAACTAATCTCACTTTTAGTGAGATATTTTGCAGCACATGCAAAATAAGCAAGCAAAAAGTCAAAGTACAAAAGCAAATCCACAATAAAAGTCATAGTCATGCTACAAGAAATTTTGCTGCCAATTTGTAGGCAGTTTAGAATAATTTCTTGTTGTCTGTAAATTTCAATTGGAAAGGGAATGTTTAGACCACTGTCAAGCCCTGAGCTACTACATGTAGTAGCCACAGATCAATATAACCAGAGACATATTATTAGCTGAAAAAAATTCATTGTTTGGTGAAAGAAACTCAGTGTCATGTTGGACGTTAGCACTACAAAAGAAACTGCCAGGAAAGAAGATGTGTTTTTGCACATATGTTGAACCTTACTGCAAATTAATAGTCACAGGTCAAAATTTTGCATATCACAAGGACGATTTTGCATTAAGACCTTCAATTTATCCTTGACCTCATTGATGGCATCCGCGATGGAAAATACCTCTTGAAAACCCCTGGAAACACCATTTCTGAGACTCTAAATTTCAAAATGACCCTTGATGCCGCAGCCTTCAAGAACTTGCGCCTTTGGTGCAAGTTCCAAAGCCGCCTAGTACACATTATCAGCCTACTACTTAAAAACTTTTTGACAGCCTTGGGCTCCCCCCTCACCAAGGAATGGATGAAGTTTAGCTGTAATTATAATGGAATTTCAAAAGGTGTGTGGGTTCTTAACTGGAAGTTATGGATATGATCTGGACCTGCACATTGTTTTTAAAAATTACTGGTACGTAGTTAACGGAACACCAGATGCAGTAAGTACACTGTACCTATCATAGCGAATGTAAAAACAACACCTGCAACTGAGATGTTGAGCAAAGGTTCATCACAGGTCCGAGAGCTTGGAGGCCTACAGCAAATAAAATAAAAAGCACAAGTAAGTAATGTAGTAATTTCGCTTTAAAACGCGTTGGCCCCAGCTTATTGGCCACAGGTAGTTGATCCATTTTCTGCTCATTAACTGGCCAAAATGAACCAAAACAGCCCAAAGCACTGCACTGTTTATAAGTCAAGCACTTCCTGATGCTAAATATCAGCTTCTGAAGTTCAGGCACGGCCAGAAGGCAAAATGTTGATACTTTTACATTTCACTTAGTTCTCCTTCCCAGTTCTTTTGCAATTCTTTCCTCATTTTTTTTTTTTGGGTTGGGCTCCGGGGCAATAAATTATTACTAGGCTCCCACTCAGGTGAAAAAGTTTCAACAAAAATTATAAGGGTTGTGAATTAATGATTTTTCAGTAGAAAGTGCACGGTATGTCTATGGGTAAGTAGTCAATTTTCTCGTCAATCTTAGAAGTTCATTTTACATTTTTTCTCTGGCCTGTTTGCCTGATTCATGCTCATGAAAGATTTCTTTTTCCTGCTCGAGTTGTAGGTGTCAAAATAGTCTATGACCATTCAAACCAATGACATCACAAGTAGTGCAAGGGATGGGGATCCTCATGGGCAGATATGGGCATTTGAAGGGTAAAAACACACCCCTCAAAAACCGAAGAGTTTTTGTACCTGCTCAAGTCACTGGCAGTTCGCAGCCCACATCAAAGACAGAACTAAACTTCTGGTTAATTCTGCCTGCAAAACAGCATCAATATCCTTGTTCTGGGCCTTCAAAAGTGTACCAGGGGTGTCATGATTTGCATGTCATAGTTGATTTGCCAATTAGGTTGAAGGAAAAATTGAAACAAATGTTCAGAAGTTAATTGACTCAGTTGTGGGCCCAAAATAAGGATATCAGCACTGCTTTGCGGACGTTACTGACCAGGGTTAGGTTACATGTATGTCTGCGATGCAGGCTAAGGCAGTCTCATCATACCATGAAAAGGAATTAACACTGGACGAAAAAATGGATTTACTAGGGTAGCCAAATTACAGCAAATGTGTAGCAAATACCACATTTGCACAAGTTTGCGCAAGAGCAAAGACTGATATTGCACTAGATTTGCTATCCGTAGCAATGACGGTAAATGCCACATTTGCACAACATTTACATCTTGGTGTAAAGATAATGGGCAGCCATGGATTTGAGGGTCATTTGCAGATGGTTCAAATGTGTAGGCAAATATGTTTCTTTGAACTATATTTGCACATTACGCGAATGATAGCGCAAATCTGCTGTTTTGCACAGCTTTTGCTTTAGATGTAAAAGCATGCAAACCTGTTATTTTCAGAACGTTTACGCAGCTTTGCAAATGTGAGCGAAGTATCTAATTTGAACAATGTTTGCTTGGGTTATCATGGGTGATCAATTTTTCATAATTGAACCAGATTGCTTTGCATAGCAAATGTAATCAAACTCTTTGCATTAAACATGTTTGCTCACGAAGCAAATGTTAGCAAACCTAACCTTTGAACAAATTTTCTAGGGTGTGCAAATTTGATCAAACACAAAATTTTGCTTGTAGCGGCAAATGGGGTCAAAAGTCAAGTTTTGAACAAAGTTGCTTGGGCAGCAAATCTGATCAAACTGTTACTATTGTACAATTTTTTGCTCAGGTAGCAAATGTAATCAAATTCTGACTTTAATTAGGTTAGCAAATGTCATCAAACCCATAAAATTGAGCATGTTTTCTCAAGGAGCAAATGTAAATTCCAAGGTTTAAACGAGTTTGCTTGGGTTGTAGCAAATGCGATAAAATTTTAAAATTATTTTTAATTATAACATGGCTCACTTCAGGTTCTTAACAAGTGGCCATAATTTAACCTTGAAGTTTATAGCTTCAAACATTAAAGTTACTGAAAGAAATTCTAGCAGTGACCTCCCACTAATGTTCAAATGATTTATTCCATAAACCAAAGTGGCTTACACATTATTACAGACTTTACAAACTACAGTATACAGCTGTACATACAGCTCTTCATATTAATTCCTAATTTTACAGTTCGTTGAAGTTTACTTGTCTCCACTCTATACTCTATCAGGTCATTACTAACTATTAATATTATAAGAAAAGTGTTCTTCATCTAAATGTGTAAGATATTCTACACACAGCTGTAGGCGTTTCAGAGTTGCCTCAAACCTATTTCAGTTGTTTAGGTTTTTGCAACTCAGAAACAGGTTAAAAATCCTTTTACCCTTGGACCAATATTTAATTACATGTATGACAAGACTATTTCTTACTTAAACTTTTGTACCTAAGGACAAAATCCTGTTCCAACTAAATGGAACCCTCAAGACACCCATTTTAATAAATAATTAGTATTTTTGTATTTATTGCTATTTACAGATTAAACAAAATTTGATTCTGGTGGCATTTTTTTCTTTAGGCTCTATTAGAATGAAAGGCCTAATTCTTTCTACCAATTTACAATTTTTGCTGGTATAACAACTGGGTTATAGCATTTAGCAAACTAAGAAATAGTTTAGGTACATGTAGCTATTCAAATTCAGATCAGACTTTTGTTGCTAATGGTTTTTGTATAGTATAGATATGCTCTTAGAGGAAGTACCTGTCGGAGCTTCTAGTACTTGCCCTGTTCTAAGAAAATTGAGGGTCATTAAAGTAATGACCAGCTGTAAGTATTCCACAGCATGTCAACATTACCATTGTCACTGTAGTTGGTCCCAGTGAATCATCCCTTCTCAGAGCAAAGGCATGCGAGATAACGCGGACCATTTTTTAACAACTTTTTAAGAAAGAAATCTCTTGAATTAGTAGGGAGGGGGATAAGGCTGGCCAAAAAGGTATTGTTAAAAATAGGCCCTGCAAAATAACTACACTGCTGTCTCTCATCACTCTTTTTCTTGAGTCATGTTGCAATCCTTTGCAAAATTCCATACTAAATCATGACAAAAAGCAGGGTGTACCTAAATTTGTTTTGTTTTTTGTTCAAGCAGGTCAGTTGCAATAATTGCTGTAATCGGTACACATGTACTGTGAAGTAGTGCCAGCAGAACTCAAATGCCTGCAGTTAAGCAAATAGATTTAAAAGAAACATTTGTTACATTACTTGCAAACAATAGCCAAAGGATTCTAATGAAAAATTTATCACATCAACCAATTTGATCGACCTGCCACCAGAATTCTCAGGACAAATCAACACCACCAGAATTTGTACTGTTTACACAGATTTATCTTTTTCTAAAAAACAGTATCATAAACAGAGAGTGATTAAAGGATTACTATATTTGCAGAGCTACATGTACATGTACCTGTAAGTATGACCAGTCATAAATAATCTGGGATTAACTTATATTTCCTTATCACAAAGCAAATTCAGGAACATTACCTGGTGCCTCCTGCTCTGAGGAGAAGCCATTCCTCCTTTCTATTGTCATTGAGTAATGACAGGCTTACATGTGACTGTTTTAATTTTGCTTTACTGTTCAGCTTGGCAAAGAGGTTTTTACAGGCTAAGTTGTTTACTCCTCCATGCTAGAGGCCTCCTGCAAAGCACTTTTCTCAGATTTGTCATCTCCTTGGTCTGTATTGCCTTGCTCTGAAGACATGTACTCCACATTTATACAAGCTTTGAACTTACAACAATCCTTCTTCGAAATAGAGGTTGACTGGAAAAGGGTTGTCTCTTTAGCTTTTTCTGCAACAAACAGAAATTATACATAATTGAGACCATTAATATTGAAACTAAAGCTGTAGATGGTTGTCATGAAAAATACTATTGTCCTTTTCTGTCTAAATATTCTAGCCTTTTATAGCATAAAGGTTGCTGTTAGATATTACATGTATTATTACTGGCTGCAGTCACACTAGGTGACTAAACTTACTTGTTTCCTGAGTTAACTGATATCAAAATTAACTACCGTAAAATTCCAAAAATAAGCCCCGGGGCTTATATTTTTCAAAGGCCCTTTTTGAGGGGCTTATTTTTGGAGGGGCTTATATTCGGAGGGGCTTATCTACGGAGGGAAATCTGCGTTTCAAACTCGATTGGGCTAGCCTTATAGTTGGAAGTAAATTTACCATTTTTGCTCATTGTTTTACTTTGTATTTGAGGGCAATTTTCCAAGTACAAGCCCCCGGGTGCTTATATTTGGAGGGGCGATTTAACGGAGGGTTTTTTGCGTTTCCGGTTTGGGGGGCTTATATTTGGAGGGGCTTATACATGGAGGGGGTTATTTTCGGAATTTTACAGTAGTTTAAACAAATTGCTGGCTCGTAACTTTCATGTCTCAAATCTAACCCCAAGCGGTCATCATAATCCTGATTACACCGTACCTGTTAAAACTAAGACCTTCTTTGAGCAAAAACAAAACGAAAAAATGAATGCGAGAAACCCTTTTGTAACAAGACAATTGACTCCAGGTAAATCATTGTATTAATTTTATAGTGAGTGTCCCACTACATCACTACCATAACATTATTGGCATATTACTTAAAACTTCATAGACCTGCTTCTTCTGCAATATTGCCATCACTTACAGTGTATCTTGGGAACAAAAGTTTAATTATACTATAATTGCCTTATATGAGGGAATCCAAGACAGTTTTAGATTCTGGATTCCACGCTGCGGATTCCGGAACCTTTTTCAGTGGATTACTTGGTCTCTGGATTCCAATCGTTTGACCTGTATTTCAGGTTTCAAAGCTCAGAATTTAGGATTCCGCAACAAAAATTGCCCAAATTCTGGATTCCATGAGCAAAAATTTCCCGGATTCCAGAATCCCTTACATGGGGCGATCATAAAAAACAATCAGTGAAAGCTGGGTACCATGATCTAAATTCTAGCTACTCTATGTTTTCAGCACCATGGCAGTCACTGCCTTTACTCCCCTTTTAAATTTTGGAAAAGCCTTTGGAGAAAGTAGGCACTAGAGGATAAGGTTAATTTTGGCCTAATAGAGGGATCGGAATTAACACTTGCTTCAATTCTTATTAAATTTTCTAAGACCATTTATCTGAAGAGAACAACCAAACAAAAGATTACAGTATTTTTTACAACAACAGGACAAATACAGTTTCAGGAGTAGGGGTGAGTCCTTGTTGATTACTGAATATTGGGAACGCAAATGTAGGTATTATCAAATAGCATCATTAATGGCTTAACACTAAACAGTAACAATGAACTTTCTTATACTTACTGAGCATTTCTTTTACTCCCGATTAGTTGCTCCCTCAGCATTTGTTTGTCCTTGCATTTCTCCTGCCTCTTCTTAGTTTTACAATGTCTGCTAACAGCAACGATTCACCGAAGTCTATGTACTAAGTTCTAACGGCTGCTTTTCTTGGATCCACTCGTTACTACTTGATCGTCGCCGATGGAGCTATCTAGATGTCTTTCATGGTGGATAAGTGCAATTTCCTTTTCGTCGAACGGTCTATACGTATGCAGTTCCCTCGAGTTCGAGCGATTATTTTTATAAGTTCTTCGAGGACACATTCGTTCGATAAATTCGAACAAATAAGACTAGCCGATTCCTCCATACTCGACAGTCAACCCCACAAAGAAGGAAAATTCGAAACTTCTTGATAAATATGGCGTTAACCGTATAAAGTAAAAGCTGATGGCAAATCGATGGCAATGGAACGTAACGGTCTTGGGCGCAAATTTCAATTGTTGTGCCTCGTTCTCGAACGGTTATGCAGACTGTCGCTGACCAGCACCACTGAGGCGCAACTGCTTGGGAAATTGGGCGCGCGGTCTTTTGGCGATTTGGCGGGAGGAAGAGATTGCCTATGTTGCTGGATTTCTTCTCAAGGATATTCGAAATTTAAAAGGTAAAGTCGATGTATTTTGCTTTGTATATCGTGCTTCTACTGCCACATCTATGTTCTAACCGGGAATAAACTACATTAATTTGCATCCATATTTACATTTGTTGCACGCGTGTCGCGTGCGTATGGTAGTGATCCAGCTGAAAAAAGCCTTGTTGAAAAATTTAAGTGGTGTTAAGTCAGCAAAATATGTAGTTATGCAATGTTAAAATGCTAATTTATTGGTATTTGTCAGAAGTAGCTCAGATTAATTTCTTGAATAATTTATACTACCTCTGGCGCTATACTGACATATTGAGCTCAATACATGTACATGTACCATTGATTTTGACAGGGGTAGGGTGGAGGCTTAATTGTATATGCGTTACTGACATTTTTCTGTTTTGTTTTGTCATGTTTTCATATACAAGGTTGTTTTGTTTATGATAGTTTATAATGATACAGCTGTACATGTAAGCTGAGTCCAAAGGTCTAAAATGTGCCACATGTGTATTTATAATGTTCATAAAGATAATGGCAACGCAAGTAACACAATTCATTTAATTTCACAATATTATCAATAAAGGTAGAATTACCAGTTATTTTTAGTGGGTTTAGTGACTTTTTTGTACATTTTGTTTCAGATTTTTCCTTGAGTGGTACAGGAGTTATTTCCAATGTTCTTGAAATTTAGTTGCATCACCAGAACTCTCCAAAAGATAAAGAGGTCAATGAAATACAGGTTCAACATGGGGAAGCTGTTTGTGGTCTGTGCATGAAGAAATGCTACAGGGGTATTCCAGTGGGTCTCAATTTATTTACAGTAATCATTTTTTCCTCTTTTTTTGGCAAGATAACCAAAGTGAAGCTTATATACTGAATGCTCCCATCCACGAATACCCCATCTGTTTGGGGTAAATGTCACAAAAAAGAAACCTCACATGTACTTCCTTGTGTTATATTTTTACCATCTTTACAGTATTATTTTTCTTGTACTTTTTGCCGTGCCCTGCTAAGTAAATACATGTCCCTTTCACAGTGTTCTGTGGGGGAACATAATGTACTGAAATTTTTGAAGCTGTAGAACATTTGCACTCATAGAGGTTTCCCCACAGAGATATAAAGAGTGACAACATTATTCTTTCAGAGGTAAACAATATGTACCACCCAATGCTCACTGATTTTGGAAAGGCTATCTTGCTATCGGATGCCCCTTTAAAACAGCAGTCCATGACTGCACTGACATATAGCTTCAGAAATATGCCTCAGATATTATGTTTTCATTTGGCGTTAATAAGTCATGGCAAAAGTTAGTGGCAAAGTGAAAGTAGAAAGTCATTTTGTAGAAGGGCAAAAAAAATGCCTTCAGACAGATTTATTATTTCATGTCTTCTGTCACTGCTCAAAACAAATTTTTAGCTGGAACCTTTTTTTGTCCAGCAATTATAAAATATCATATTCCTATTAAAAAAGGAAAATCAAAAAGTTATCTTACTGTGTGAATTCCTATACTAAATAAATCTATTAAAATTCGACTCATTTAGTGAAAAAGGGTATAATAATATTGAAGGTGTAACCCCGTTGGTCTAAGAAGTTTAGGTTTAAGTGAAGAAATGCACCATGTTAAATTTGTTGAGTGAAGGCTGATATAAATCTCGCCAGTCTGTTTGAGTAGTTTAAAAAGACAAATCATATTAAACTCAAAATCAGGGTTGTAAAGAGCAGCAAAGAAATTATTCGTTCATGTCTGTGCTGAGTTTCTATTCACAAATTATATAAAATACAAAGCAATTTCACCATTTGTTGTAGTATTGGCTGTTGGGCTTTCAAAATGTGGTCATTTTTAGGAGGCTCACCATCAAGATGTGGTCATCTCTTATAGGTAAGTCAGTGAAAACTAGAACAAATAGCGGTAAGAACAAAATTGTCAGTTTTGGTGTGAAGTTTCTTGAATAAATGGCCATGAGGAAATTGTGTACAAGTGAATAATCTTAACCCTGACTTTGAAATGCACAGAACTTCTTTTCTTGGACCAAATTTAAGGTACTGTGGGTGGCCTTGTTATTGTTAGCTTTTTATAATAATATTATGATGTACAAAAAATACAGTAAATGATATGACTACTGGACCTTTGTCCAGTAGATTTGTTGTGGTGTATTTACTTTATGTAAAGGGGAGGTAGTGTGGGCCCTCTGTAACTGTATACAACAGTTACTGCGTCATTTTGAATTTTTAGTTTTAGTAATTGGAGATCCCTGCCCATTGTGCAACCCTAGGCTTTACTATTATCAAATGACAGAAGAGGAATGCAACACATGCCCAGGTTATGTACCATTGACTCACTTCGAAGTGGTTATGTGATTTAGAATTGGAACCAAAAAAAAAAAAAACGGGGCCCAGTTGTTCCAAAAACCGATTAGCACTAACCCAGGGTTAGATTTTAACCCGTGTTTCTTTTTCCATTTAATCAAAAGCATTTTGTCAGATAATTTTCTCTTTTCTTTTTTAAGTATTAAATCACCAAATTGTTGACAAAAGGAATTCAAATGAATTTGTTTTTTAAAACTTTCATATCTGAATTCATATTTAGAATTTTGGGGGGGAAGCCACAACCCTGCTCCTTGTATCCCAAGATCAAATAACCAGGATTCAGGTGAATTTTAGCCAGCAAAAATGCTATGACTTTTTTGGATTGAATGGGTAGTACTTAATGAACAGTAAAACTCAAAATCAACATTAAAATCAGTGAAACTCAAACTCAGGGTTGCAAACAACAGAGTAAGAAAAATTAGCCTTTCATAAATTTGTTGGCTGAGTTAATGTTCAAATAAAATTGTGAGCAGTTTCACCATATTTTGTTGTAGTGTTGGCTGTTGTGTTTTCAAAATGTAGTCACTTGCCATCGAGATGTGGTCATCTCTAGGTGGGCAGTCAAAACTACAACAAATACCGGTTAAACTAAAATTGTTGGTATTAATTTGAATTAAGTTTGTTGGTTAAATGGCTGTGGCTCTGTGAGAATTTTATTCTCCAGGTGTCTCAGAGGGAACTAAAAACGCACTTTTCAGATATTGTTTGCATCTATGTCCAGCATCAAGGAAACAGTTTGGCCTTCCTGACGCAACAGAGCAGCTTAGCCTTTTTAGGCTGTGGCTCTGTGAGAATTTTATTCTCCGGGCGTCTCAGAGGGAACTAAAAACGTGCTTTTCAGATATTGTTTGCATCTCTGTCCAGCATTAAATAAGGAAAAAAGTTTGGCCCTCCTGATGCAACAGAGCAGCTTAGCCTTTTTAGGCTGTGGCTCTGTGAGAATTTTATTCTCCGGGTGTCTCAAAGGGAACTAAAAACGCACTTTTCAGATATTGTTTGCATCTATGTCCAGCATTAAGGAAAACAGTTTGGCCTTCCTGATGCAACAGAGCAGCTTAGCCTTTTTAGGCTGTGGCTCTGTGAGAATTTTATTCTCCGGGTGTCTCGGAGGGAACTAAAAACGTGCTTTCAGATACCGTTTGAATCTCTGTCCAGCATTAAGAAAAAAACGTTTGGCCTTTCCGATGCAACAGAGCAGCTTAGCCTTTTTAGGCTGTGGCTCTGTGAGAATTTTATTCTCCGGGTGTCTCAGAGGGAACTAAAAACGCACTTTTCAGATATTGTTTGAATCTCCGTCTAGCATTAAGAAAAAACGTTTGGCCTTCCTGATGCAACAGAGCAGCTTAGCCTTTTTAGGCTGTGGCTCTGTGAGAATTTTATTCTCCGGGTGTCTCAGAGGGAACTAAAAACGTGCTTTCAGATACTGTTTGAATCTCTGTCCAGCATTAAGAAAAAAACGTTTGGCCTTTCCGATGCAACAGAGCAGCTTAGCCTTTTTAGGCTGTGGCTCTGTGAGAATTTTATACTCCAGGTGTCTCAGAGAGAAATGAGTTTTACTTTTAAGACATTGTTTAAGCATTTAGTTCCCAGTATTGTATCGCTTTGCTCAAGTGCTCTTTCAAATATTGCAAGTGTTTCGCTTACGTTTGAATTTAACCCCATCCAGATCCAGTGAGGCCTTCAAAACAGCGCGAGTAGCGCGTCAATTTTAAAAGTTTTTGCAGTGTTGCATAAGGCAGTTTCCGTTTAGCGCTGGGTTAGTGTCAGTTCTGGCCTTGAATGAAGATTCCGAAAAAAGCCTTGCGTTTACATAAAATTAGGGAGATCTTGTAAGCACGGATTGAAATATATGAAATGCGGATGAAGGTATGAAAGTGAACATGATCATCGCATTAAATTCGCAGCCTATTCGGTTGAAAAACAATTTGAAAACTTTTGCAGCGTTATCGCAGAAAGTTAGAAGTAATATTATTCAATGTTGGGGAAAACACTCCGCGGCTTTAAATTAATACTTCCACAATGTTTTAATCCCGGTAGTGTAGTAACCTTTTCGTTAAGGCCGCTTCTAAAACGGACTCGAGAAAACCGCATGTCTCCTTGAACTCTCACTTCTGCGAGTCGAAGCGAAAAGAAAATAGAGTGACAGTACTTTCAAACCATTACGGGCTACCTTAGCCCGCGGTTTAAGAAATCATTGGACCTCCAGGCCTCTTTCTTGGTGGGTTAACCTAAGAAAATAAGTGCTTTCCCAGTCTGCCTTATATGCTTTATTGAATTGTTCAAGATAAATGGGGTTGATAAAAGCGTTGGGCAAACTGAAGATGGCTTCATTATGACGCTATTTTAATATACAGGCTAAATGACTGGCCATTAGTGTTTAATAAATAGAAGTAACAAAATATGCAATGGAAAATTTCCTCGCAAGAAATGCGTAAAATCACTCTTCTCGAAGTACAATACATTTTAAGAGAAGCCACAAAGGCAAATGCATTCCGGTTCGGCAGAAAGACTTCTAATGCGGCTAATTTGTAATTGAGTTCTTTGTTGAACCGAAATCTTGTTGACGTACAGACCTCTACGAATCTCGTCATGCTGGACCTTAATAACCAGTACATTGAATTAGTGTATTTGCTTTAAATTAGAAGCCCGGGAAAGGTTTATGCCGGGGGCACTGTCAGAAAGGGACACCTTTTTGATGCTTCAGGTATGAAAGGATAGAGATTTCCTGAGTTAAAGTATATGAGAAGGTAGACTATCTGTCATTTCGCTCTGTAAAAAGACTAACAAAAAAATTTGTGACTGTAAAATTGTCAAAAAAATTAACTGGTTTCTGATTCCTTTATATTAAAATGACAGTGCATATAAAACAGTTAACAGGAAAGATGCATGAAAGGGGTTGGATCTCTGGGCGGAGTCTCACAGCGTGTACAAAATTTTATTGTAACAATGTAATGTTACAGTTGAGATTGGAAATTTACTTTAGTCACAAAACGAATCAAACATATAGGAAATGTCACATGCACATCACCTTTGACTGTCAGCAAGTGTTGTGCAGTTCACTATATTTGCTCCCCTTGCAAATATGGATAATTATGATGCAAATGTGCAAATTTATGATACAGCCAAATGTCTAGAAATTTATTGTTTTCGCTCTTAAGGCAAATACGAGTAAACCACATGCAAAAGTGTTCTTTTGGTATCCTGGAAAAACAAGAGCAAACACCACTGTAAATTAGGGGTTTTGCAATATTTTTGCCTGCATTTGAAGTACAGTGAAAACTGTCATTTTTGCCAAGGATGTAAATTTGAGTAAATTGGTAGAAATGTCAAATATTTGCACATGCTGCAAATATGTATCAAATTTGTATCAAACCATTACATTTACTTGACTTTTGCGTATCAATACCTATCCAGCAAATCTATGTATTTGCCCACACTTTAGCCGCCAGCGCAAATGTAATGCAAATTTGGAGCTCCAAATTTACCACATATTTGCACCTTTCGCAAACATTAGTAAATCCGTTTTTTCGTCCAGTGTAAGGTTTAACAGAAGGTTACCTATAGAAAGATCTTTTACAGGTCAAAATTAAATTGAGGTAAAAATTTTTTAACCCAGGGTGATTCTTAATTTCCTTTGTCTCCTAGCCCTAAAATTATTCATGAACTAGGACTTGGAGACAAAGGAAATTGAGAAGCAAACTAGGTTAATAACAAAATTAATTTTATTGGACACTTTCTATGACCCATTCAATGTCCGCATTAACCCTTCAAGCCCCAATATCCACAAACAAATTCTCCAAACACTGATCTCCATAAATTTCCTTTAAGAATTAGGTGAGAGAATTTTAAATAAAAAATCAAGGCATTTTCTCTTTGGTGATCATTTAATTCATTCTCATAATCCTCCCTCTTGACTATGTATGGATGTTGTTAGGAGAAAATTGATGTTGGTCACTATTGGGACTTCAAGGTCAAATGAACCAAAATTTCGACCTTTTTTATTTTAGTTCAATTCCAGTGAAATGTGTTTAATATGAACCAAATAAACATACTATGAAGTTTCAGCTCAATTGAAGCAAGTGTCTACGAGATATTCGCAATTAAAAATTGCTGTTTTTTGGCCCTTATCTTCGTAGAGCGGTTGGAAAAATTGTCGGAAAAAACAGCTTGTGACGTCAATGTTGGTCAGGTGAAAAAAAGCGGGAAATTCAAAACAGTTTTTCGAGTCGACTTGGCATGGAAGTGGTTTGTGCGGCCATAAACCTGGAAATAACAGGCAATTTGTCTTCAAAAGTTGCAAGCTATGGTTATAATCTTCTTATTATTTAATTTTTTCGAAGAATACATCATAGTAAAACGGACTTTAACGACATTTACTAATTTCCTTGAGTTGTACTGGAAATGTGCGTGTGTAAGTCTGATTAGGGTCCGGAGCTCCACCGTGAACACAAAAACAAAATAACTTTGTATAATAATCTGCCCAAAGAAATTCAAGTTTGCCCACAATGTGTTTGAAGTCCCTGAACTTTGTTGCACTCATGCTGATATTTTAAAACCCACACTCGATCGGACACTTCTAGCTTTGCAGATCACTAAAATATAAACAAAATCCTCAATGTACAAGTTTTGGCGTTGATATATGGGCCGAAAAAGAGTTAATCTTTATCTACTACATCTTCCCCAAGATCGTTTTCAAAGCAACCATAGTTTTTTAAACTTGATCATTTCGGGCAGATTAATTAATTTTGCTTTGTGTTGTCAAGTTGAACATGCATAACACCTGTTAAAAACCTACGCGTATTAAAGTAAGATTTCCTTCAAACAAAGTTAACGTTACATTATTGCAAAAACTTCTTTCCAATTATGTATAAGATTTAATTACCGATTGAGGTCACTTTAAGGACCAAAGACGCCACTTTAGGCTGGCAAAGAGATGCGACAAGCAAAGAACAATGCCATCATGCATAAAATTCAGGTTAAGTGAACTAAAAAAAGCTTCAATAAGATTGCAAAACAACAAATTTTCATTAAAAAACATAAGGCTTAAGGCTCCTATACCTGCTGACAAAGAAGAAGTGAGTTTTCTGTACGGAAACAACCTACAATGAGGGACAAAAGTGTTGAGACACTTTCGTAAAATGGCCCCTTTTTGAATACTGGACTTACCTATCCCCTTCCCCTGTCTACCTCCACCCCTCGCCCCCAAAATCAATGTTGTATTTTGGACCCTCAACTCTTTCTTTTACTTCAGACAACATTGATTCAGGGGGTGAGGGGATTTATGGCGTTTAAAAGGAATGAAATAATAAATGAAGTAAATGTTTGATAAAAGCACCCGTTCTAAACAAGTGTGTCAACTACTTTTGTCCCTGATTGTCTGAAATATGTATCTATGTTTTCCGGCTAGATTTTTGACGCTGCTGAATTGTTGTGCCATGACGTTACTCTATGGGCCAAATTGTTTGTGTACAAACAACCATTTGTAAATTTTCGTCGTGATTTGTAGTACACGTACAGTAAAATGTACTACGCGTATGTCATTACTTAATCTTGTACTCCCGCGCGCGTTCCTGATACCCTGTCGGGTGGAGAGGAAATCATTTGTGTTGTGATCACTGCCGTTGCTGCGGATGTAATGTTTTCACAAGTATTAACACTAGTGGAAAAATGATGGAAACACCAAGGTACAATGAAAATTGTTCTTGTGTGCATGAATAGTCAACTTAAGATAATGAAATACTGCAGAGTATTAAACGGAGCGGACATGCATTATTTTCGACACTGACTTGTGCCATTGGTGAAAGGACGTGAGCAATATACAGGATATGAACCTCATAAATGATGGGCCAGCCGTTTCTGCTATGCCCTATAAGTGTTTTCCTTTTTTTTGAGACCTTTTCAAACCTAACAGATCCAAACCTTTAGCGTAGGTAGGCGTAGAACAGGTTAGGAATGTACTTTTGTAATGATTTTAGATGACCGCCTGCCAGTTATTCATTTATTCTAGTTCATTTCCCAGCTCCTAAATCACATAATGCTAAAGAAATTGTTTTCAAGATAGACAGACCAGTCTGTATCTCACCAAAAAAACAATTACTGTGGCCCAGAAGTTCACTTGATGACAAGGAGAGCGGGATTGGCACGTGATCGATGACGGCCGTGAGCTGGAAAATTTTCCGTTTTCATGCCCCTAATTCCTCACAAAAGGCAAAAGAAGATCTCGCTATGTAGAAAGTGCTTTGCAATACTTATTCTTGGCGAGCAACATTGCAGCGATGTGGTGCAAATAAGGAGTTTTAACGGTTAACCACGAGAAAACATATCGGCATTAAGAGGTCATAACAGACTAATGTTACTTTCCGTTTGCCGAAACGTGGTTAACCGTTGTATCACGAAGGAAGCAGTGTTTTCCTCAGTTTGAGCTGTCGTTTTCTTTGAGAGTCAGATACCAGTTCACGTTTTAAAGCTCTGTTTTCATTTTTCCTGCCGACAATAGAGAAAAACAGAGGGTTTCGCTTGAGAAATGCAGTCCAAATACACAGACATATGCGCTCATGTCACGCTATTTGCGTTGCGTTATCATGTCACACAGGGTGTCACCAGGTGGGATTGAAAGTAATTGTTTTCGCGTACACTTGTAATATTTGTTACGCTGTCCTTAGTTTTTTATTAAATTGACCATGAATTTACCTTCACTTTTCCGTAGTTCCGATATTGAACGCAGTGATGGCCGATCCTCACTAACGCTCCATATTTCCGTGGCCGGCCAGTGATTATCCCCAATACGTGTCAATCCTTACGCTGCCCCTGATTGTTTGCGTCTTATCAATCGGATAAAGTAAAGAAAGAGGAATATTCACTTTATTAAAAATATTTTCAGTACGCATACTCTTGAAATTCACCAAAAGTTGTACATGTGCGCGAGTTTTAGCCTCAGTTTTTAGCTTGTAAACTATATTGCCGTTAATTCTGGATACCGCAGCCCTTTTATTACGTCATCACGTAATTCGAATTGGCCCTATATTTCGGTCGTGAAGAAGTCAATGTCAACCCCACCACCAATAACATAATTATGTCATTGATTGCTTTAATTTCAGTTAAAATCATTGTCATACAGAGCTCAACTTGTGTGCAGTAGTACAATTTTGCATTCAGACAATGAGGGACAAAAGTGTTGAGACACTTTCGTAAAATGGCCCCTTTTTTGAATACTGGACTTACCTATCCCCTTCCCCTGTCTACCTCCACCCCTCGCCCCCAAAATCAATGTTGTATTTTGGACCCTCAACTCTTTCTTTTACTTCAGACAACATTGATTCAGGGGTGAGGGGATTTATGGCGTTTAAAAGGAATGAAATAATAAATGAAGTAAATGTTTGATAAAAGCACCCGTTCTAAACAAGTGTGTCAACTACTTTTGTCCCTGATTGTCTGAAATATGTATCTATGTTTTCCGGCTAGATTTTTTTTGACGCTGCTGAATTGTTGTGCCATGACGTTACTCTATGGGCCAAATTGTTTGTGTACAAACAACCATTTGTAAATTTTCGTCGTGATTTGTAGTACACGTACAGTAAAATGTACTACGCGTATGTCATTACTTAATCTTGTACTCCCGCGCGCGTTCCTGATACCCTGTCGGGTGGAGAGGAAATCATTTGTGTTGTGATCACTGCCGTTGCTGCGGATGTAATGTTTTCACAAGTATTAACACTAGTGGAAAAATGATGGAAACACCAAGGTACAATGAAAATTGTTCTTGTGTGCATGAATAGTCAACTTAAGATAATGAAATACTGCAGAGTATTAAACGGAGCGGACATGCATTATTTTCGACACTGACTTGTGCCATTGGTGAAAGGACGTGAGCAATATACAGGATATGAACCTCATAAATGATGGGCCAGCCGTTTCTGCTATGCCCTATAAGTGTTTTCCTTTTTTTTGAGACCTTTTCAAACCTAACAGATCCAAACCTTTAGCGTAGGTAGGCGTAGAACAGGTTAGGAATGTACTTTTGTAATGATTTTAGATGACCGCCTGCCAGTTATTCATTTATTCTAGTTCATTTCCCAGCTCCTAAATCACATAATGCTAAAGAAATTGTTTTCAAGATAGACAGACCAGTCTGTATCTCACCAAAAAAACAATTACTGTGGCCCAGAAGTTCACTTGATGACAAGGAGAGCGGGATTGGCACGTGATCGATGACGGCCGTGAGCTGGAAAATTTTCCGTTTTCATGCCCCTAATTCCTCACAAAAGGCAAAAGAAGATCTCGCTATGTAGAAAGTGCTTTGCAATACTTATTCTTGGCGAGCAACATTGCAGCGATGTGGTGCAAATAAGGAGTTTTAACGGTTAACCACGAGAAAACATATCGGCATTAAGAGGTCATAACAGACTAATGTTACTTTCCGTTTGCCGAAACGTGGTTAACCGTTGTATCACGAAGGAAGCAGTGTTTTCCTCAGTTTGAGCTGTCGTTTTCTTTGAGAGTCAGATACCAGTTCACGTTTTAAAGCTCTGTTTTCATTTTTCCTGCCGACAATAGAGAAAAACAGAGGGTTTCGCTTGAGAAATGCAGTCCAAATACACAGACATATGCGCTCATGTCACGCTATTTGCGTTGCGTTATCATGTCACACAGGGTGTCACCAGGTGGGATTGAAAGTAATTGTTTTCGCGTACACTTGTAATATTTGTTACGCTGTCCTTAGTTTTTTATTAAATTGACCATGAATTTACCTTCACTTTTCCGTAGTTCCGATATTGAACGCAGTGATGGCCGATCCTCACTAACGCTCCATATTTCCGTGGCCGGCCAGTGATTATCCCCAATACGTGTCAATCCTTACGCTGCCCCTGATTGTTTGCGTCTTATCAATCGGATAAAGTAAAGAAAGAGGAATATTCACTTTATTAAAAATATTTTCAGTACGCATACTCTTGAAATTCACCAAAAGTTGTACATGTGCGCGAGTTTTAGCCTCAGTTTTTAGCTTGTAAACTATATTGCCGTTAATTCTGGATACCGCAGCCCTTTTATTACGTCATCACGTAATTCGAATTGGCCCTATATTTCGGTCGTGAAGAAGTCAATGTCAACCCCACCACCAATAACATAATTATGTCATTGATTGCTTTAATTTCAGTTAAAATCATTGTCATACAGAGCTCAACTTGTGTGCAGTAGTACAATTTTGCATTCAGACAATGAGGGACAAAAGTGTTGAGACACTTTCGTAAAATGGCCCCTTTTTGAATACTGGACTTACCTATCCCCTTCCCCTGTCTACCTCCACCCCTCGCCCCCAAAATCAATGTTGTATTTTGGACCCTCAACTCTTTCTTTTACTTCAGACAACATTGATTCAGGGGGTGAGGGGATTTATGGCGTTTAAAAGGAATGAAATAATAAATGAAGTAAATGTTTGATAAAAGCACCCGTTCTAAACAAGTGTGTCAACTACTTTTGTCCCTGATTGTCTGAAATATGTATCTATGTTTTCCGGCTAGATTTTTGACGCTGCTGAATTGTTGTGCCATGACGTTACTCTATGGGCCAAATTGTTTGTGTACAAACAACCATTTGTAAATTTTCGTCGTGATTTGTAGTACACGTACAGTAAAATGTACTACGCGTATGTCATTACTTAATCTTGTACTCCCGCGCGCGTTCCTGATACCCTGTCGGGTGGAGAGGAAATCATTTGTGTTGTGATCACTGCCGTTGCTGCGGATGTAATGTTTTCACAAGTATTAACACTAGTGGAAAAATGATGGAAACACCAAGGTACAATGAAAATTGTTCTTGTGTGCATGAATAGTCAACTTAAGATAATGAAATACTGCAGAGTATTAAACGGAGCGGACATGCATTATTTTCGACACTGACTTGTGCCATTGGTGAAAGGACGTGAGCAATATACAGGATATGAACCTCATAAATGATGGGCCAGCCGTTTCTGCTATGCCCTATAAGTGTTTTTCTTTTTTTTGAGACCTTTTCAAACCTAACAGATCCAAACCTTTAGCGTAGGTAGGCGTAGAACAGGTTAGGAATGTACTTTTGTAATGATTTTAGATGACCGCCTGCCAGTTATTCATTTATTCTAGTTCATTTCCCAGCTCCTAAATCACATAATGCTAAAGAAATTGTTTTCAAGATAGACAGACCAGTCTGTATCTCACCAAAAAACAATTACTGTGGCCCAGAAGTTCACTTGATGACAAGGAGAGCGGGATTGGCACGTGATCGATGACGGCCGTGAGCTGGAAAATTTTCCGTTTTCATGCCCTAATTCCTCACAAAAGGCAAAAGAAGATCTCGCTATGTAGAAAGTGCTTTGCAATACTTATTCTTGGCGAGCAACATTGCAGCGATGTGGTGCAAATAAGGAGTTTTAACGGTTAACCACGAGAAAACATATCGGCATTAAGAGGTCATAACAGACTAATGTTACTTTCCGTTTGCCGAAACGTGGTTAACCGTTGTATCACGAAGGAAGCAGTGTTTTCCTCAGTTTGAGCTGTCGTTTTCTTTGAGAGTCAGATACCAGTTCACGTTTTAAAGCTCTGTTTTCATTTTTCCTGCCGACAATAGAGAAAAACAGAGGGTTTCGCTTGAGAAATGCAGTCCAAATACACAGACATATGCGCTCATGTCACGCTATTTGCGTTGCGTTATCATGTCACACAGGGTGTCACCAGGTGGGATTGAAAGTAATTGTTTTCGCGTACACTTGTAATATTTGTTACGCTGTCCTTAGTTTTTTATTAAATTGACCATGAATTTACCTTCACTTTTCCGTAGTTCCGATATTGAACGCAGTGATGGCCGATCCTCACTAACGCTCCATATTTCCGTGGCCGGCCAGTGATTATCCCCAATACGTGTCAATCCTTACGCTGCCCCTGATTGTTTGCGTCTTATCAATCGGATAAAGTAAAGAAAGAGGAATATTCACTTTATTAAAAATATTTTCAGTACGCATACTCTTGAAATTCACCAAAAGTTGTACATGTGCGCGAGTTTTAGCCTCAGTTTTTAGCTTGTAAACTATATTGCCGTTAATTCTGGATACCGCAGCCCTTTTATTACGTCATCACGTAATTCGAATTGGCCCTATATTTCGGTCGTGAAGAAGTCAATGTCAACCCCACCACCAATAACATAATTATGTCATTGATTGCTTTAATTTCAGTTAAAATCATTGTCATACAGAGCTCAACTTGTGTGCAGTAGTACAATTTTGCATTCAGACAGTCTGAAATATGTATCTATGTTTTCCGGCTAGATTTTTGACGCTGCTGAATTGTTGTGCCATGACGTTACTCTATGGGCCAAATTGTTTGTGTACAAACAACCATTTGTAAATTTTCGTCGTGATTTGTAGTACACGTACAGTAAAATGTACTACGCGTATGTCATTACTTAATCTTGTACTCCCGCGCGCGTTCCTGATACCCTGTCGGGTGGAGAGGAAATCATTTGTGTTGTGATCACTGCCGTTGCTGCGGATGTAATGTTTTCACAAGTATTAACACTAGTGGAAAAATGATGGAAACACCAAGGTACAATGAAAATTGTTCTTGTGTGCATGAATAGTCAACTTAAGATAATGAAATACTGCAGAGTATTAAACGGAGCGGACATGCATTATTTTCGACACTGACTTGTGCCATTGGTGAAAGGACGTGAGCAATATACAGGATATGAACCTCATAAATGATGGGCCAGCCGTTTCTGCTATGCCCTATAAGTGTTTTTTTTTTTTGAGACCTTTTCAAACCTAACAGATCCAAACCTTTAGCGTAGGTAGGCGTAGAACAGGTTAGGAATGTACTTTTGTAATGATTTTAGATGACCGCCTGCCAGTTATTCATTTATTCTAGTTCATTTCCCAGCTCCTAAATCACATAATGCTAAAGAAATTGTTTTCAAGATAGACAGACCAGTCTGTATCTCACCAAAAAAAAACAATTACTGTGGCCCAGAAGTTCACTTGATGACAAGGAGAGCGGGATTGGCACGTGATCGATGACGGCCGTGAGCTGGAAAATTTTCCGTTTTCATGCCCCTAATTCCTCACAAAAGGCAAAAGAAGATCTCGCTATGTAGAAAGTGCTTTGCAATACTTATTCTTGGCGAGCAACATTGCAGCGATGTGGTGCAAATAAGGAGTTTTAACGGTTAACCACGAGAAAACATATCGGCATTAAGAGGTCATAACAGACTAATGTTACTTTCCGTTTGCCGAAACGTGGTTAACCGTTGTATCACGAAGGAAGCAGTGTTTTCCTCAGTTTGAGCTGTCGTTTTCTTTGAGAGTCAGATACCAGTTCACGTTTTAAAGCTCTGTTTTCATTTTTCCTGCCGACAATAGAGAAAAACAGAGGGTTTCGCTTGAGAAATGCAGTCCAAATACACAGACATATGCGCTCATGTCACGCTATTTGCGTTGCGTTATCATGTCACACAGGGTGTCACCAGGTGGGATTGAAAGTAATTGTTTTCGCGTACACTTGTAATATTTGTTACGCTGTCCTTAGTTTTTATTAAATTGACCATGAATTTACCTTCACTTTTCCGTAGTTCCGATATTGAACGCAGTGATGGCCGATCCTCACTAACGCTCCATATTTCCGTGGCCGGCCAGTGATTATCCCCAATACGTGTCAATCCTTACGCTGCCCCTGATTGTTTGCGTCTTATCAATCGGATAAAGTAAAGAAAGAGGAATATTCACTTTATTAAAAATATTTTCAGTACGCATACTCTTGAAATTCACCAAAAGTTGTACATGTGCGCGAGTTTTAGCCTCAGTTTTTAGCTTGTAAACTATATTGCCGTTAATTCTGGATACCGCAGCCCTTTTATTACGTCATCACGTAATTCGAATTGGCCCTATATTTCGGTCGTGAAGAAGTCAATCTCAACCCCACCACCAATAACATAATTATGTCATTGATTGCTTTAATTTCAGTTAAAATCATTGTCATACAGAGCTCAACTTGTGTGCAGTAGTACAATTTTGCATTCAGACAGTCTGAAATATGTATCTATGTTTTCCGGCTAGATTTTTGACGCTGCTGAATTGTTGTGCCATGACGTTACTCTATGGGCCAAATTGTTTGTGTACAAACAACCATTTGTAAATTTTCGTCGTGATTTGTAGTACACGTACAGTAAAATGTACTACGCGTATGTCATTACTTAATCTTGTACTCCCGCGCGCGTTCCTGATACCCTGTCGGGTGGAGAGGAAATCATTTGTGTTGTGATCACTGCCGTTGCTGCGGATGTAATGTTTTCACAAGTATTAACACTAGTGGAAAAATGATGGAAACACCAAGGTACAATGAAAATTGTTCTTGTGTGCATGAATAGTCAACTTAAGATAATGAAATACTGCAGAGTATTAAACGGAGCGGACATGCATTATTTTCGACACTGACTTGTGCCATTGGTGAAAGGACGTGAGCAATATACAGGATATGAACCTCATAAATGATGGGCCAGCCGTTTCTGCTATGCCCTATAAGTTTTTTTTTTTTTTGAGACCTTTTCAAACCTAACAGATCCAAACCTTTAGCGTAGGTAGGCGTAGAACAGGTTAGGAATGTACTTTTGTAATGATTTTAGATGACCGCCTGCCAGTTATTCATTTATTCTAGTTCATTTCCCAGCTCCTAAATCACATAATGCTAAAGAAATTGTTTTCAAGATAGACAGACCAGTCTGTATCTCACCAAAAAAACAATTACTGTGGCCCAGAAGTTCACTTGATGACAAGGAGAGCGGGATTGGCACGTGATCGATGACGGCCGTGAGCTGGAAAATTTTCCGTTTTCATGCCCCTAATTCCTCACAAAAGGCAAAAGAAGATCTCGCTATGTAGAAAGTGCTTTGCAATACTTATTCTTGGCGAGCAACATTGCAGCGATGTGGTGCAAATAAGGAGTTTTAACGGTTAACCACGAGAAAACATATCGGCATTAAGAGGTCATAACAGACTAATGTTACTTTCCGTTTGCCGAAACGTGGTTAACCGTTGTATCACGAAGGAAGCAGTGTTTTCCTCAGTTTGAGCTGTCGTTTTCTTTGAGAGTCAGATACCAGTTCACGTTTTAAAGCTCTGTTTTCATTTTTCCTGCCGACAATAGAGAAAAACAGAGGGTTTCGCTTGAGAAATGCAGTCCAAATACACAGACATATGCGCTCATGTCACGCTATTTGCGTTGCGTTATCATGTCACACAGGGTGTCACCAGGTGGGATTGAAAGTAATTGTTTTCGCGTACACTTGTAATATTTGTTACGCTGTCCTTAGTTTTTATTAAATTGACCATGAATTTACCTTCACTTTTCCGTAGTTCCGATATTGAACGCAGTGATGGCCGATCCTCACTAACGCTCCATATTTCCGTGGCCGGCCAGTGATTATCCCCAATACGTGTCAATCCTTACGCTGCCCCTGATTGTTTGCGTCTTATCAATCGGATAAAGTAAAGAAAGAGGAATATTCACTTTATTAAAAATATTTTCAGTACGCATACTCTTGAAATTCACCAAAAGTTGTACATGTGCGCGAGTTTTAGCCTCAGTTTTTAGCTTGTAAACTATATTGCCGTTAATTCTGGATACCGCAGCCCTTTTATTACGTCATCACGTAATTCGAATTGGCCCTATATTTCGGTCGTGAAGAAGTCAATGTCAACCCCACCACCAATAACATAATTATGTCATTGATTGCTTTAATTTCAGTTAAAATCATTGTCATACAGAGCTCAACTTGTGTGCAGTAGTACAATTTTGCATTCAGACAGTCTGAAATATGTATCTATGTTTTCCGGCTAGATTTTTGACGCTGCTGAATTGTTGTGCCATGACGTTACTCTATGGGCCAAATTGTTTGTGTACAAACAACCATTTGTAAATTTTCGTCGTGATTTGTAGTACACGTACAGTAAAATGTACTACGCGTATGTCATTACTTAATCTTGTACTCCCGCGCGCGTTCCTGATACCCTGTCGGGTGGAGAGGAAATCATTTGTGTTGTGATCACTGCCGTTGCTGCGGATGTAATGTTTTCACAAGTATTAACACTAGTGGAAAAATGATGGAAACACCAAGGTACAATGAAAATTGTTCTTGTGTGCATGAATAGTCAACTTAAGATAATGAAATACTGCAGAGTATTAAACGGAGCGGACATGCATTATTTTCGACACTGACTTGTGCCATTGGTGAAAGGACGTGAGCAATATACAGGATATGAACCTCATAAATGATGGGCCAGCCGTTTCTGCTATGCCCTATAAGTGTTTTTCTTTTTTTTGAGACCTTTTCAAACCTAACAGATCCAAACCTTTAGCGTAGGTAGGCGTAGAACAGGTTAGGAATGTACTTTTGTAATGATTTTAGATGACCGCCTGCCAGTTATTCATTTATTCTAGTTCATTTCCCAGCTCCTAAATCACATAATGCTAAAGAAATTGTTTTCAAGATAGACAGACCAGTCTGTATCTCACCAAAAAACAATTACTGTGGCCCAGAAGTTCACTTGATGACAAGGAGAGCGGGATTGGCACGTGATCGATGACGGCCGTGAGCTGGAAAATTTTCCGTTTTCATGCCCCTAATTCCTCACAAAAGGCAAAAGAAGATCTCGCTATGTAGAAAGTGCTTTGCAATACTTATTCTTGGCGAGCAACATTGCAGCGATGTGGTGCAAATAAGGAGTTTTAACGGTTAACCACGAGAAAACATATCGGCATTAAGAGGTCATAACAGACTAATGTTACTTTCCGTTTGCCGAAACGTGGTTAACCGTTGTATCACGAAGGAAGCAGTGTTTTCCTCAGTTTGAGCTGTCGTTTTCTTTGAGAGTCAGATACCAGTTCACGTTTTAAAGCTCTGTTTTCATTTTTCCTGCCGACAATAGAGAAAAACAGAGGGTTTCGCTTGAGAAATGCAGTCAAATACACAGACATATGCGCTCATGTCACGCTATTTGCGTTGCGTTATCATGTCACACAGGGTGTCACCAGGTGGGATTGAAAGTAATTGTTTTCGCGTACACTTGTAATATTTGTTACGCTGTCCTTAGTTTTTATTAAATTGACCATGAATTTACCTTCACTTTTCCGTAGTTCCGATATTGAACGCAGTGATGGCCGATCCTCACTAACGCTCCATATTTCCGTGGCCGGCCAGTGATTATCCCCAATACGTGTCAATCCTTACGCTGCCCCTGATTGTTTGCGTCTTATCAATCGGATAAAGTAAAGAAAGAGGAATATTCACTTTATTAAAAATATTTTCAGTACGCATACTCTTGAAATTCACCAAAAGTTGTACATGTGCGCGAGTTTTAGCCTCAGTTTTTAGCTTGTAAACTATATTGCCGTTAATTCTGGATACCGCAGCCCTTTTATTACGTCATCACGTAATTCGAATTGGCCCTATATTTCGGTCGTGAAGAAGTCAATGTCAACCCCACCACCAATAACATAATTATGTCATTGATTGCTTTAATTTCAGTTAAAATCATTGTCATACAGAGCTCAACTTGTGTGCAGTAGTACAATTTTGCATTCAGACAGTCTGAAATATGTATCTATGTTTTCCGGCTAGATTTTTGACGCTGCTGAATTGTTGTGCCATGACGTTACTCTATGGGCCAAATTGTTTGTGTACAAACAACCATTTGTAAATTTTCGTCGTGATTTGTAGTACACGTACAGTAAAATGTACTACGCGTATGTCATTACTTAATCTTGTACTCCCGCGCGCGTTCCTGATACCCTGTCGGGTGGAGAGGAAATCATTTGTGTTGTGATCACTGCCGTTGCTGCGGATGTAATGTTTTCACAAGTATTAACACTAGTGGAAAAATGATGGAAACACCAAGGTACAATGAAAATTGTTCTTGTGTGCATGAATAGTCAACTTAAGATAATGAAATACTGCAGAGTATTAAACGGAGCGGACATGCATTATTTTCGACACTGACTTGTGCCATTGGTGAAAGGACGTGAGCAATATACAGGATATGAACCTCATAAATGATGGGCCAGCCGTTTCTGCTATGCCCTATAAGTGTTTTTCTTTTTTTTGAGACCTTTTCAAACCTAACAGATCCAAACCTTTAGCGTAGGTAGGCGTAGAACAGGTTAGGAATGTACTTTTGTAATGATTTTAGATGACCGCCTGCCAGTTATTCATTTATTCTAGTTCATTTCCCAGCTCCTAAATCACATAATGCTAAAGAAATTGTTTTCAAGATAGACAGACCAGTCTGTATCTCACCAAAAAAACAATTACTGTGGCCCAGAAGTTCACTTGATGACAAGGAGAGCGGGATTGGCACGTGATCGATGACGGCCGTGAGCTGGAAAATTTTCCGTTTTCATGCCCCTAATTCCTCACAAAAGGCAAAAGAAGATCTCGCTATGTAGAAAGTGCTTTGCAATACTTATTCTTGGCGAGCAACATTGCAGCGATGTGGTGCAAATAAGGAGTTTTAACGGTTAACCACGAGAAAACATATCGGCATTAAGAGGTCATAACAGACTAATGTTACTTTCCGTTTGCCGAAACGTGGTTAACCGTTGTATCACGAAGGAAGCAGTGTTTTCCTCAGTTTGAGCTGTCGTTTTCTTTGAGAGTCAGATACCAGTTCACGTTTTAAAGCTCTGTTTTCATTTTTCCTGCCGACAATAGAGAAAAACAGAGGGTTTCGCTTGAGAAATGCAGTCCAAATACACAGACATATGCGCTCATGTCACGCTATTTGCGTTGCGTTATCATGTCACACAGGGTGTCACCAGGTGGGATTGAAAGTAATTGTTTTCGCGTACACTTGTAATATTTGTTACGCTGTCCTTAGTTTTTATTAAATTGACCATGAATTTACCTTCACTTTTCCGTAGTTCCGATATTGAACGCAGTGATGGCCGATCCTCACTAACGCTCCATATTTCCGTGGCCGGCCAGTGATTATCCCCAATACGTGTCAATCCTTACGCTGCCCCTGATTGTTTGCGTCTTATCAATCGGATAAAGTAAAGAAAGAGGAATATTCACTTTATTAAAAATATTTTCAGTACGCATACTCTTGAAATTCACCAAAAGTTGTACATGTGCGCGAGTTTTAGCCTCAGTTTTTAGCTTGTAAACTATATTGCCGTTAATTCTGGATACCGCAGCCCTTTTATTACGTCATCACGTAATTCGAATTGGCCCTATATTTCGGTCGTGAAGAAGTCAATGTCAACCCCACCACCAATAACATAATTATGTCATTGATTGCTTTAATTTCAGTTAAAATCATTGTCATACAGAGCTCAACTTGTGTGCAGTAGTACAATTTTGCATTCAGACAGTCTGAAATATGTATCTATGTTTTCCGGCTAGATTTTTGACGCTGCTGAATTGTTGTGCCATGACGTTACTCTATGGGCCAAATTGTTTGTGTACAAACAACCATTTGTAAATTTTCGTCGTGATTTGTAGTACACGTACAGTAAAATGTACTACGCGTATGTCATTACTTAATCTTGTACTCCCGCGCGCGTTCCTGATACCCTGTCGGGTGGAGAGGAAATCATTTGTGTTGTGATCACTGCCGTTGCTGCGGATGTAATGTTTTCACAAGTATTAACACTAGTGGAAAAATGATGGAAACACCAAGGTACAATGAAAATTGTTCTTGTGTGCATGAATAGTCAACTTAAGATAATGAAATACTGCAGAGTATTAAACGGAGCGGACATGCATTATTTTCGACACTGACTTGTGCCATTGGTGAAAGGACGTGAGCAATATACAGGATATGAACCTCATAAATGATGGGCCAGCCGTTTCTGCTATGCCCTATAAGTGTTTTTCTTTTTTTTTGAGACCTTTTCAAACCTAACAGATCCAAACCTTTAGCGTAGGTAGGCGTAGAACAGGTTAGGAATGTACTTTTGTAATGATTTTAGATGACCGCCTGCCAGTTATTCATTTATTCTAGTTCATTTCCCAGCTCCTAAATCACATAATGCTAAAGAAATTGTTTTCAAGATAGACAGACCAGTCTGTATCTCACCAAAAAAACAATTACTGTGGCCCAGAAGTTCACTTGATGACAAGGAGAGCGGGATTGGCACGTGATCGATGACGGCCGTGAGCTGGAAAATTTTCCGTTTTCATGCCCCTAATTCCTCACAAAAGGCAAAAGAAGATCTCGCTATGTAGAAAGTGCTTTGCAATACTTATTCTTGGCGAGCAACATTGCAGCGATGTGGTGCAAATAAGGAGTTTTAACGGTTAACCACGAGAAAACATATCGGCATTAAGAGGTCATAACAGACTAATGTTACTTTCCGTTTGCCGAAACGTGGTTAACCGTTGTATCACGAAGGAAGCAGTGTTTTCCTCAGTTTGAGCTGTCGTTTTCTTTGAGAGTCAGATACCAGTTCACGTTTTAAAGCTCTGTTTTCATTTTTCCTGCCGACAATAGAGAAAAACAGAGGGTTTCGCTTGAGAAATGCAGTCCAAATACACAGACATATGCGCTCATGTCACGCTATTTGCGTTGCGTTATCATGTCACACAGGGTGTCACCAGGTGGGATTGAAAGTAATTGTTTTCGCGTACACTTGTAATATTTGTTACGCTGTCCTTAGTTTTTATTAAATTGACCATGAATTTACCTTCACTTTTCCGTAGTTCCGATATTGAACGCAGTGATGGCCGATCCTCACTAACGCTCCATATTTCCGTGGCCGGCCAGTGATTATCCCCAATACGTGTCAATCCTTACGCTGCCCCTGATTGTTTGCGTCTTATCAATCGGATAAAGTAAAGAAAGAGGAATATTCACTTTATTAAAAATATTTTCAGTACGCATACTCTTGAAATTCACCAAAAGTTGTACATGTGCGCGAGTTTTAGCCTCAGTTTTTAGCTTGTAAACTATATTGCCGTTAATTCTGGATACCGCAGCCCTTTTATTACGTCATCACGTAATTCGAATTGGCCCTATATTTCGGTCGTGAAGAAGTCAATGTCAACCCCACCACCAATAACATAATTATGTCATTGATTGCTTTAATTTCAGTTAAAATCATTGTCATACAGAGCTCAACTTGTGTGCAGTAGTACAATTTTGCATTCAGACAATGAGGGACAAAAGTGTTGAGACACTTTCGTAAAATGGCCCCTTTTGAATACTGGACTTACCTATCCCCTTCCCCTGTCTACCTCCACCCCTCGCCCCCAAAATCAATGTTGTATTTTGGACCCTCAACTCTTTCTTTTACTTCAGACAACATTGATTCAGGGGGTGAGGGGATTTATGGCGTTTAAAAGGAATGAAATAATAAATGAAGTAAATGTTTGATAAAAGCACCCGTTCTAAACAAGTGTGTCAACTACTTTTGTCCCTGATTGTCTGAAATATGTATCTATGTTTTCCGGCTAGATTTTTGACGCTGCTGAATTGTTGTGCCATGACGTTACTCTATGGGCCAAATTGTTTGTGTACAAACAACCATTTGTAAATTTTCGTCGTGATTTGTAGTACACGTACAGTAAAATGTACTACGCGTATGTCATTACTTAATCTTGTACTCCCGCGCGCGTTCCTGATACCCTGTCGGGTGGAGAGGAAATCATTTGTGTTGTGATCACTGCCGTTGCTGCGGATGTAATGTTTTCACAAGTATTAACACTAGTGGAAAAATGATGGAAACACCAAGGTACAATGAAAATTGTTCTTGTGTGCATGAATAGTCAACTTAAGATAATGAAATACTGCAGAGTATTAAACGGAGCGGACATGCATTATTTTCGACACTGACTTGTGCCATTGGTGAAAGGACGTGAGCAATATACAGGATATGAACCTCATAAATGATGGGCCAGCCGTTTCTGCTATGCCCTATAAGTGTTTTTTTTTTTTGAGACCTTTTCAAACCTAACAGATCCAAACCTTTAGCGTAGGTAGGCGTAGAACAGGTTAGGAATGTACTTTTGTAATGATTTTAGATGACCGCCTGCCAGTTATTCATTTATTCTAGTTCATTTCCCAGCTCCTAAATCACATAATGCTAAAGAAATTGTTTTCAAGATAGACAGACCAGTCTGTATCTCACCAAAAAAACAATTACTGTGGCCCAGAAGTTCACTTGATGACAAGGAGAGCGGGATTGGCACGTGATCGATGACGGCCGTGAGCTGGAAAATTTTCCGTTTTCATGCCCCTAATTCCTCACAAAAGGCAAAAGAAGATCTCGCTATGTAGAAAGTGCTTTGCAATACTTATTCTTGGCGAGCAACATTGCAGCGATGTGGTGCAAATAAGGAGTTTTAACGGTTAACCACGAGAAAACATATCGGCATTAAGAGGTCATAACAGACTAATGTTACTTTCCGTTTGCCGAAACGTGGTTAACCGTTGTATCACGAAGGAAGCAGTGTTTTCCTCAGTTTGAGCTGTCGTTTTCTTTGAGAGTCAGATACCAGTTCACGTTTTAAAGCTCTGTTTTCATTTTTCCTGCCGACAATAGAAAAACAGAGGGTTTCGCTTGAGAAATGCAGTCCAAATACACAGACATATGCGCTCATGTCACGCTATTTGCGTTGCGTTATCATGTCACACAGGGTGTCACCAGGTGGGATTGAAAGTAATTGTTTTTTCGCGTACACTTGTAATATTTGTTACGCTGTCCTTAGTTTTTTATTAAATTGACCATGAATTTACCTTCACTTTTCCGTAGTTCCGATATTGAACGCAGTGATGGCCGATCCTCACTAACGCTCCATATTTCCGTGGCCGGCCAGTGATTATCCCCAATACGTGTCAATCCTTACGCTGCCCCTGATTGTTTGCGTCTTATCAATCGGATAAAGTAAAAAAAAGAGGAATATTCACTTTATTAAAAATATTTTCAGTACGCATACTCTTGAAATTCACCAAAAGTTGTACATGTGCGCGAGTTTTAGCCTCAGTTTTTAGCTTGTAAACTATATTGCCGTTAATTCTGGATACCGCAGCCCTTTTATTACGTCATCACGTAATTCGAATTGGCCCTATATTTCGGTCGTGAAGAAGTCAATGTCAACCCCACCACCAATAACATAATTATGTCATTGATTGCTTTAATTTCAGTTAAAATCATTGTCATACAGAGCTCAACTTGTGTGCAGTAGTACAATTTTGCATTCAGACAATGAGGGACAAAAGTTTGAGACACTTTCGTAAAATGGCCCCTTTTTGAATACTGGACTATCCCCTTCCCTGTCTACCTCCACCCCTCGCCCCCAAAATCAATGTTGTATTTTGGACCCTCAACTCTTTCTTTTTTCAGACAACATTGATTCAGGGGTGAGGGGATTTATGGCGTTTAAAAGGAATGAAATAATAAATGAAGTAAATGTTTGATAAAAGCACCCGTTCTAAACAAGTGTGTCAACTACTTTTGTTGATTGTCTGAAATATGTATCTATGTTTTCCGGCTAGATTTTTGACGCTGCTGAATTGTTGTGCCATGACGTTACTCTATGGGCCAAATTGTTTGTGTACAAACAACCATTTGTAAATTTTCGTCGTGATTTGTAGTACACGTACAGTAAAATGTACTACGCGTATGTCATTACTTAATCTTGTACTCCCGCGCGCGTTCCTGATACCCTGTCGGGTGGAGAGGAAATCATTTGTGTTGTGATCACTGCCGTTGCTGCGGATGTAATGTTTTCACAAGTATTAACACTAGTGGAAAAATGATGGAAACACCAAGGTACAATGAAAATTGTTCTTGTGTGCATGAATAGTCAACTTAAGATAATGAAATACTGCAGAGTATTAAACGGAGCGGACATGCATTATTTTCGACACTGACTTGTGCCATTGGTGAAAGGACGTGAGCAATATACAGGATATGAACCTCATAAATGATGGGCCAGCCGTTTCTGCTATGCCCTATAAGTGTTTTTCTTTTTTTTGAGACCTTTTCAAACCTAACAGATCCAAACCTTTAGCGTAGGTAGGCGTAGAACAGGTTAGGAATGTACTTTTGTAATGATTTTAGATGACCGCCTGCCAGTTATTCATTTATTCTAGTTCATTTCCCAGCTCCTAAATCACATAATGCTAAAGAAATTGTTTTCAAGATAGACAGACCAGTCTGTATCTCACCAAAAAAACAATTACTGTGGCCCAGAAGTTCACTTGATGACAAGGAGAGCGGGATTGGCACGTGATCGATGACGGCCGTGAGCTGGAAAATTTTCCGTTTTCATGCCCCTAATTCCTCACAAAAGGCAAAAGAAGATCTCGCTATGTAGAAAGTGCTTTGCAATACTTATTCTTGGCGAGCAACATTGCAGCGATGTGGTGCAAATAAGGAGTTTTAACGGTTAACCACGAGAAAACATATCGGCATTAAGAGGTCATAACAGACTAATGTTACTTTCCGTTTGCCGAAACGTGGTTAACCGTTGTATCACGAAGGAAGCAGTGTTTTCCTCAGTTTGAGCTGTCGTTTTCTTTGAGAGTCAGATACCAGTTCACGTTTTAAAGCTCTGTTTTCATTTTTCCTGCCGACAATAGAGAAAAACAGAGGGTTTCGCTTGAGAAATGCAGTCCAAATACACAGACATATGCGCTCATGTCACGCTATTTGCGTTGCGTTATCATGTCACACAGGGTGTCACCAGGTGGGATTGAAAGTAATTGTTTTCGCGTACACTTGTAATATTTGTTACGCTGTCCTTAGTTTTTATTAAATTGACCATGAATTTACCTTCACTTTTCCGTAGTTCCGATATTGAACGCAGTGATGGCCGATCCTCACTAACGCTCCATATTTCCGTGGCCGGCCAGTGATTATCCCCAATACGTGTCAATCCTTACGCTGCCCCTGATTGTTTGCGTCTTATCAATCGGATAAAGTAAAGAAAGAGGAATATTCACTTTATTAAAAATATTTTCAGTACGCATACTCTTGAAATTCACCAAAAGTTGTACATGTGCGCGAGTTTTAGCCTCAGTTTTTAGCTTGTAAACTATATTGCCGTTAATTCTGGATACCGCAGCCCTTTTATTACGTCATCACGTAATTCGAATTGGCCCTATATTTCGGTCGTGAAGAAGTCAATGTCAACCCCCCACCACCAATAACATAATTATGTCATTGATTGCTTTAATTTCAGTTAAAATCATTGTCATACAGAGCTCAACTTGTGTGCAGTAGTACAATTTTGCATTCAGACAATGAGGGACAAAAGTGTTGAGACACTTTCGTAAAATGGCCCCTTTTTGAATACTGGACTTACCTATCCCCTTCCCCTGTCTACCTCCACCCCTCGCCCCCAAAATCAATGTTGTATTTTGGACCCTCAACTCTTTCTTTTACTTCAGACAACATTGATTCAGGGGTGAGGGGATTTATGGCGTTTAAAAGGAATGAAATAATAAATGAAGTAAATGTTTGATAAAAGCACCCGTTCTAAACAAGTGTGTCAACTACTTTTGTCCCTGATTGTCTGAAATATGTATCTATGTTTTCCGGCTAGATTTTTGACGCTGCTGAATTGTTGTGCCATGACGTTACTCTATGGGCCAAATTGTTTGTGTACAAACAACCATTTGTAAATTTTCGTCGTGATTTGTAGTACACGTACAGTAAAATGTACTACGCGTATGTCATTACTTAATCTTGTACTCCCCGCGCGTTCCTGATACCCTGTCGGGTGGAGAGGAAATCATTTGTGTTGTGATCACTGCCGTTGCTGCGGATGTAATGTTTTCACAAGTATTAACACTAGTGGAAAAATGATGGAAACACCAAGGTACAATGAAAATTGTTCTTGTGTGCATGAATAGTCAACTTAAGATAATGAAATACTGCAGAGTATTAAACGGAGCGGACATGCATTATTTTCGACACTGACTTGTGCCATTGGTGAAAGGACGTGAGCAATATACAGGATATGAACCTCATAAATGATGGGCCAGCCGTTTCTGCTATGCCCTATAAGTGTTTTTCTTTTTTTTGAGACCTTTTCAAACCTAACAGATCCAAACCTTTAGCGTAGGTAGGCGTAGAACAGGTTAGGAATGTACTTTTGTAATGATTTTAGATGACCGCCTGCCAGTTATTCATTTATTCTAGTTCATTTCCCAGCTCCTAAATCACATAATGCTAAAGAAATTGTTTTCAAGATAGACAGACCAGTCTGTATCTCACCAAAAAAAACAATTACTGTGGCCCAGAAGTTCACTTGATGACAAGGAGAGCGGGATTGGCACGTGATCGATGACGGCCGTGAGCTGGAAAATTTTCCGTTTTCATGCCCCTAATTCCTCACAAAAGGCAAAAGAAGATCTCGCTATGTAGAAAGTGCTTTGCAATACTTATTCTTGGCGAGCAACATTGCAGCGATGTGGTGCAAATAAGGAGTTTTAACGGTTAACCACGAGAAAACATATCGGCATTAAGAGGTCATAACAGACTAATGTTACTTTCCGTTTGCCGAAACGTGGTTAACCGTTGTATCACGAAGGAAGCAGTGTTTTCCTCAGTTTGAGCTGTCGTTTTCTTTGAGAGTCAGATACCAGTTCACGTTTTAAAGCTCTGTTTTCATTTTTCCTGCCGACAATAGAGAAAAACAGAGGGTTTCGCTTGAGAAATGCAGTCCAAATACACAGACATATGCGCTCATGTCACGCTATTTGCGTTGCGTTATCATGTCACACAGGGTGTCACCAGGTGGGATTGAAAGTAATTGTTTTCGCGTACACTTGTAATATTTGTTACGCTGTCCTTAGTTTTTTATTAAATTGACCATGAATTTACCTTCACTTTTCCGTAGTTCCGATATTGAACGCAGTGATGGCCGATCCTCACTAACGCTCCATATTTCCGTGGCCGGCCAGTGATTATCCCCAATACGTGTCAATCCTTACGCTGCCCCTGATTGTTTGCGTCTTATCAATCGGATAAAGTAAAGAAAGAGGAATATTCACTTTATTAAAAATATTTTCAGTACGCATACTCTTGAAATTCACCAAAAGTTGTACATGTGCGCGAGTTTTAGCCTCAGTTTTTAGCTTGTAAACTATATTGCCGTTAATTCTGGATACCGCAGCCCTTTTATTACGTCATCACGTAATTCGAATTGGCCCTATATTTCGGTCGTGAAGAAGTCAATGTCAACCCCACCACCAATAACATAATTATGTCATTGATTGCTTTAATTTCAGTTAAAATCATTGTCATACAGAGCTCAACTTGTGTGCAGTAGTACATTTTGCATTCAGACAATGAGGGACAAAAGTGTTGAGACACTTTCGTAAAAATGGCCCCTTTTTGAATACTGGACTTACCTATCCCCTTCCCTGTCTACCTCCACCCCTCGCCCCCAAAATCAATGTTGTATTTTGGACCCTCAACTCTTTCTTTTACTTCAGACAACATTGATTCAGGGGGTGAGGGGATTTATGGCGTTTAAAAGGAATGAAATAATAAATGAAGTAAATGTTTGATAAAAGCACCCGTTCTAAACAAGTGTGTCAACTACTTTTGTCCCTGATTGTCTGAAATATGTATCTATGTTTTCCGGCTAGATTTTTGACGCTGCTGAATTGTTGTGCCATGACGTTACTCTATGGGCCAAATTGTTTGTGTACAAACAACCATTTGTAAATTTTCGTCGTGATTTGTAGTACACGTACAGTAAAATGTACTACGCGTATGTCATTACTTAATCTTGTACTCCCGCGCGCGTTCCTGATACCCTGTCGGGTGGAGAGGAAATCATTTGTGTTGTGATCACTGCCGTTGCTGCGGATGTAATGTTTTCACAAGTATTAACACTAGTGGAAAAATGATGGAAACACCAAGGTACAATGAAAATTGTTCTTGTGTGCATGAATAGTCAACTTAAGATAATGAAATACTGCAGAGTATTAAACGGAGCGGACATGCATTATTTTCGACACTGACTTGTGCCATTGGTGAAAGGACGTGAGCAATATACAGGATATGAACCTCATAAATGATGGGCCAGCCGTTTCTGCTATGCCCTATAAGTGTTTTTCTTTTTTTTGAGACCTTTTCAAACCTAACAGATCCAAACCTTTAGCGTAGGTAGGCGTAGAACAGGTTAGGAATGTACTTTTGTAATGATTTTAGATGACCGCCTGCCAGTTATTCATTTATTCTAGTTCATTTCCCAGCTCCTAAATCACATAATGCTAAAGAAATTGTTTTCAAGATAGACAGACCAGTCTGTATCTCACCAAAAAAACAATTACTGTGGCCCAGAAGTTCACTTGATGACAAGGAGAGCGGGATTGGCACGTGATCGATGACGGCCGTGAGCTGGAAAATTTTCCGTTTTCATGCCCCTAATTCCTCACAAAAGGCAAAAGAAGATCTCGCTATGTAGAAAGTGCTTTGCAATACTTATTCTTGGCGAGCAACATTGCAGCGATGTGGTGCAAATAAGGAGTTTTAACGGTTAACCACGAGAAAACATATCGGCATTAAGAGGTCATAACAGACTAATGTTACTTTCCGTTTGCCGAAACGTGGTTAACCGTTGTATCACGAAGGAAGCAGTGTTTTCCTCAGTTTGAGCTGTCGTTTTCTTTGAGAGTCAGATACCAGTTCACGTTTTAAAGCTCTGTTTTCATTTTTCCTGCCGACAATAGAGAAAAACAGAGGGTTTCGCTTGAGAAATGCAGTCCAAATACACAGACATATGCGCTCATGTCACGCTATTTGCGTTGCGTTATCATGTCACACAGGGTGTCACCAGGTGGGATTGAAAGTAATTGTTTTCGCGTACACTTGTAATATTTGTTACGCTGTCCTTAGTTTTTTATTAAATTGACCATGAATTTACCTTCACTTTTCCGTAGTTCCGATATTGAACGCAGTGATGGCCGATCCTCACTAACGCTCCATATTTCCGTGGCCGGCCAGTGATTATCCCCAATACGTGTCAATCCTTACGCTGCCCCTGATTGTTTGCGTCTTATCAATCGGATAAAGTAAAGAAAGAGGAATATTCACTTTATTAAAAATATTTTCAGTACGCATACTCTTGAAATTCACCAAAAGTTGTACATGTGCGCGAGTTTTAGCCTCAGTTTTTAGCTTGTAAACTATATTGCCGTTAATTCTGGATACCGCAGCCCTTTTATTACGTCATCACGTAATTCGAATTGGCCCTATATTTCGGTCGTGAAGAAGTCAATGTCAACCCCCCACCACCAATAAATAATTATGTCATTGATTGCTTTAATTTCAGTTAAAATCATTGTCATACAGAGCTCAACTTGTGTGCAGTAGTACAATTTTGCATTCAGACAGTCTGAAATATGTATCTATGTTTTCCGGCTAGATTTTTGACGCTGCTGAATTGTTGTGCCATGACGTTACTCTATGGGCCAAATTGTTTGTGTACAAACAACCATTTGTAAATTTTCGTCGTGATTTGTAGTACACGTACAGTAAAATGTACTACGCGTATGTCATTACTTAATCTTGTACTCCGCGCGCGTTCCTGATACCCTGTCGGGTGGAGAGGAAATCATTTGTGTTGTGATCACTGCCGTTGCTGCGGATGTAATGTTTTCACAAGTATTAACACTAGTGGAAAAATGATGGAAACACCAAGGTACAATGAAAATTGTTCTTGTGTGCATGAATAGTCAACTTAAGATAATGAAATACTGCAGAGTATTAAACGGAGCGGACATGCATTATTTTCGACACTGACTTGTGCCATTGGTGAAAGGACGTGAGCAATATACAGGATATGAACCTCATAAATGATGGGCCAGCCGTTTCTGCTATGCCCTATAAGTGTTTTTTTTTTTTTGAGACCTTTTCAAACCTAACAGATCCAAACCTTTAGCGTAGGTAGGCGTAGAACAGGTTAGGAATGTACTTTTTGTAATGATTTTAGATGACCGCCTGCCAGTTATTCATTTATTCTAGTTCATTTCCCAGCTCCTAAATCACATAATGCTAAAGAAATTGTTTTCAAGATAGACAGACCAGTCTGTATCTCACCAAAAAAACAATTACTGTGGCCCAGAAGTTCACTTGATGACAAGGAGAGCGGGATTGGCACGTGATCGATGACGGCCGTGAGCTGGAAAATTTTCCGTTTTCATGCCCCTAATTCCTCACAAAAGGCAAAAGAAGATCTCGCTATGTAGAAAGTGCTTTGCAATACTTATTCTTGGCGAGCAACATTGCAGCGATGTGGTGCAAATAAGGAGTTTTAACGGTTAACCACGAGAAAACATATCGGCATTAAGAGGTCATAACAGACTAATGTTACTTTCCGTTTGCCGAAACGTGGTTAACCGTTGTATCACGAAGGAAGCAGTGTTTTCCTCAGTTTGAGCTGTCGTTTTCTTTGAGAGTCAGATACCAGTTCACGTTTTAAAGCTCTGTTTTCATTTTTCCTGCCGACAATAGAGAAAAACAGAGGGTTTCGCTTGAGAAATGCAGTCCAAATACACAGACATATGCGCTCATGTCACGCTATTTGCGTTGCGTTATCATGTCACACAGGGTGTCACCAGGTGGGATTGAAAGTAATTGTTTTCGCGTACACTTGTAATATTTGTTACGCTGTCCTTAGTTTTTTATTAAATTGACCATGAATTTACCTTCACTTTTCCGTAGTTCCGATATTGAACGCAGTGATGGCCGATCCTCACTAACGCTCCATATTTCCGTGGCCGGCCAGTGATTATCCCCAATACGTGTCAATCCTTACGCTGCCCCTGATTGTTTGCGTCTTATCAATCGGATAAAGTAAAGAAAGAGGAATATTCACTTTATTAAAAAATATTTTCAGTACGCATACTCTTGAAATTCACCAAAAGTTGTACATGTGCGCGAGTTTTAGCCTCAGTTTTTAGCTTGTAAACTATATTGCCGTTAATTCTGGATACCGCAGCCCTTTTATTACGTCATCACGTAATTCGAATTGGCCCTATATTTCGGTCGTGAAGAAGTCAATGTCAACCCCACCACCAATAACATAATTATGTCATTGATTGCTTTAATTTCAGTTAAAATCATTGTCATACAGAGCTCAACTTGTGTGCAGTAGTACAATTTTGCATTCAGACATGTCTGAAATATGTATCTATGTTTTCCGGCTAGATTTTTGACGCTGCTGAATTGTTGTGCCATGACGTTACTCTATGGGCCAAATTGTTTGTGTACAAACAACCATTTGTAAATTTTCGTCGTGATTTGTAGTACACGTACAGTAAAATGTACTACGCGTATGTCATTACTTAATCTTGTACTCCCGCGCGCGTTCCTGATACCCTGTCGGGTGGAGAGGAAATCATTTGTGTTGTGATCACTGCCGTTGCTGCGGATGTAATGTTTTCACAAGTATTAACACTAGTGGAAAAATGATGGAAACACCAAGGTACAATGAAAATTGTTCTTGTGTGCATGAATAGTCAACTTAAGATAATGAAATACTGCAGAGTATTAAACGGAGCGGACATGCATTATTTTCGACACTGACTTGTGCCATTGGTGAAAGGACGTGAGCAATATACAGGATATGAACCTCATAAATGATGGGCCAGCCGTTTCTGCTATGCCCTATAAGTGTTTTTCTTTTTTTTGAGACCTTTTCAAACCTAACAGATCCAAACCTTTAGCGTAGGTAGGCGTAGAACAGGTTAGGAATGTACTTTTGTAATGATTTTAGATGACCGCCTGCCAGTTATTCATTTATTCTAGTTCATTTCCCAGCTCCTAAATCACATAATGCTAAAGAAATTGTTTTCAAGATAGACAGACCAGTCTGTATCTCACCAAAAAAACAATTACTGTGGCCCAGAAGTTCACTTGATGACAAGGAGAGCGGGATTGGCACGTGATCGATGACGGCCGTGAGCTGGAAAATTTTCCGTTTTCATGCCCTAATTCCTCACAAAAGGCAAAAGAAGATCTCGCTATGTAGAAAGTGCTTTGCAATACTTATTCTTGGCGAGCAACATTGCAGCGATGTGGTGCAAATAAGGAGTTTTAACGGTTAACCACGAGAAAACATATCGGCATTAAGAGGTCATAACAGACTAATGTTACTTTCCGTTTGCCGAAACGTGGTTAACCGTTGTATCACGAAGGAAGCAGTGTTTTCCTCAGTTTGAGCTGTCGTTTTCTTTGAGAGTCAGATACCAGTTCACGTTTTAAAGCTCTGTTTTCATTTTTCCTGCCGACAATAGAGAAAAACAGAGGGTTTCGCTTGAGAAATGCAGTCCAAATACACAGACATATGCGCTCATGTCACGCTATTTGCGTTGCGTTATCATGTCACACAGGGTGTCACCAGGTGGGATTGAAAGTAATTGTTTTCGCGTACACTTGTAATATTTGTTACGCTGTCCTTAGTTTTTTATTAAATTGACCATGAATTTACCTTCACTTTTCCGTAGTTCCGATATTGAACGCAGTGATGGCCGATCCTCACTAACGCTCCATATTTCCGTGGCCGGCCAGTGATTATCCCCAATACGTGTCAATCCTTACGCTGCCCCTGATTGTTTGCGTCTTATCAATCGGATAAAGTAAAGAAAGAGGAATATTCACTTTATTAAAAATATTTTCAGTACGCATACTCTTGAAATTCACCAAAAGTTGTACATGTGCGCGAGTTTTAGCCTCAGTTTTTAGCTTGTAAACTATATTGCCGTTAATTCTGGATACCGCAGCCCTTTTATTACGTCATCACGTAATTCGAATTGGCCCTATATTTCGGTCGTGAAGAAGTCAATGTCAACCCCACCACCAATAACATAATTATGTCATTGATTGCTTTAATTTCAGTTAAAATCATTGTCATACAGAGCTCAACTTGTGTGCAGTAGTACAATTTTGCATTCAGACATGTCTGAAATATGTATCTATGTTTTCCGGCTAGATTTTTGACGCTGCTGAATTGTTGTGCCATGACGTTACTCTATGGGCCAAATTGTTTGTGTACAAACAACCATTTGTAAATTTTCGTCGTGATTTGTAGTACACGTACAGTAAAATGTACTACGCGTATGTCATTACTTAATCTTGTACTCCCGCGCGCGTTCCTGATACCCTGTCGGGTGGAGAGGAAATCATTTGTGTTGTGATCACTGCCGTTGCTGCGGATGTAATGTTTTCACAAGTATTAACACTAGTGGAAAAATGATGGAAACACCAAGGTACAATGAAAATTGTTCTTGTGTGCATGAATAGTCAACTTAAGATAATGAAATACTGCAGAGTATTAAACGGAGCGGACATGCATTATTTTCGACACTGACTTGTGCCATTGGTGAAAGGACGTGAGCAATATACAGGATATGAACCTCATAAATGATGGGCCAGCCGTTTCTGCTATGCCCTATAAGTGTTTTTCTTTTTTTTGAGACCTTTTCAAACCTAACAGATCCAAACCTTTAGCGTAGGTAGGCGTAGAACAGGTTAGGAATGTACTTTTGTAATGATTTTAGATGACCGCCTGCCAGTTATTCATTTATTCTAGTTCATTTCCCAGCTCCTAAATCACATAATGCTAAAGAAATTGTTTTCAAGATAGACAGACCAGTCTGTATCTCACAAAAAAACAATTACTGTGGCCCAGAAGTTCACTTGATGACAAGGAGAGCGGGATTGGCACGTGATCGATGACGGCCGTGAGCTGGAAAATTTTCCGTTTTCATGCCCCTAATTCCTCACAAAAAGGCAAAAGAAGATCTCGCTATGTAGAAAGTGCTTTGCAATACTTATTCTTGGCGAGCAACATTGCAGCGATGTGGTGCAAATAAGGAGTTTTAACGGTTAACCACGAGAAAACATATCGGCATTAAGAGGTCATAACAGACTAATGTTACTTTCCGTTTGCCGAAACGTGGTTAACCGTTGTATCACGAAGGAAGCAGTGTTTTCCTCAGTTTGAGCTGTCGTTTTCTTTGAGAGTCAGATACCAGTTCACGTTTTAAAGCTCTGTTTTCATTTTTCCTGCCGACAATAGAGAAAAACAGAGGGTTTCGCTTGAGAAATGCAGTCCAAATACACAGACATATGCGCTCATGTCACGCTATTTGCGTTGCGTTATCATGTCACACAGGGTGTCACCAGGTGGGATTGAAAGTAATTGTTTTCGCGTACACTTGTAATATTTGTTACGCTGTCCTTAGTTTTTTATTAAATTGACCATGAATTTACCTTCACTTTTCCGTAGTTCCGATATTGAACGCAGTGATGGCCGATCCTCACTAACGCTCCATATTTCCGTGGCCGGCCAGTGATTATCCCCAATACGTGTCAATCCTTACGCTGCCCCTGATTGTTTGCGTCTTATCAATCGGATAAAGTAAAGAAAGAGGAATATTCACTTTATTAAAAATATTTTCAGTACGCATACTCTTGAAATTCACCAAAAGTTGTACATGTGCGCGAGTTTTAGCCTCAGTTTTTAGCTTGTAAACTATATTGCCGTTAATTCTGGATACCGCAGCCCTTTTATTACGTCATCACGTAATTCGAATTGGCCCTATATTTCGGTCGTGAAGAAGTCAATGTCAACCCCACCACCAATAACATAATTATGTCATTGATTGCTTTAATTTCAGTTAAAATCATTGTCATACAGAGCTCAACTTGTGTGCAGTAGTACAATTTTGCATTCAGACATGTCTGAAATATGTATCTATGTTTTCCGGCTAGATTTTTGACGCTGCTGAATTGTTGTGCCATGACGTTACTCTATGGGCCAAATTGTTTGTGTACAAACAACCATTTGTAAATTTTCGTCGTGATTTGTAGTACACGTACAGTAAAATGTACTACGCGTATGTCATTACTTAATCTTGTACTCCGCGCGCGTTCCTGATACCCTGTCGGGTGGAGAGGAAATCATTTGTGTTGTGATCACTGCCGTTGCTGCGGATGTAATGTTTTCACAAGTATTAACACTAGTGGAAAATGATGGAAACACCAAGGTACAATGAAAATTGTTCTTGTGTGCATGAATAGTCAACTTAAGATAATGAAATACTGCAGAGTATTAAACGGAGCGGACATGCATTATTTTCGACACTGACTTGTGCCATTGGTGAAAGGACGTGAGCAATATACAGGATATGAACCTCATAAATGATGGGCCAGCCGTTTCTGCTATGCCCTATAAGTGTTTTTTTTTTTTTTTTTGAGACCTTTTCAAACCTAACAGATCCAAACCTTTAGCGTAGGTAGGCGTAGAACAGGTTAGGAATGTACTTTTGTAATGATTTTAGATGACCGCCTGCCAGTTATTCATTTATTCTAGTTCATTTCCCAGCTCCTAAATCACATAATGCTAAAGAAATTGTTTTCAAGATAGACAGACCAGTCTGTATCTCACCAAAAAACAATTACTGTGGCCCAGAAGTTCACTTGATGACAAGGAGAGCGGGATTGGCACGTGATCGATGACGGCCGTGAGCTGGAAAATTTTCCGTTTTCATGCCCCTAATTCCTCACAAAAGGCAAAAGAAGATCTCGCTATGTAGAAAGTGCTTTGCAATACTTATTCTTGGCGAGCAACATTGCAGCGATGTGGTGCAAATAAGGAGTTTTAACGGTTAACCACGAGAAAACATATCGGCATTAAGAGGTCATAACAGACTAATGTTACTTTCCGTTTGCCGAAACGTGGTTAACCGTTGTATCACGAAGGAAGCAGTGTTTTCCTCAGTTTGAGCTGTCGTTTTCTTTGAGAGTCAGATACCAGTTCACGTTTTAAAGCTCTGTTTTCATTTTTCCTGCCGACAATAGAGAAAAACAGAGGGTTTCGCTTGAGAAATGCAGTCCAAATACACAGACATATGCGCTCATGTCACGCTATTTGCGTTGCGTTATCATGTCACACAGGGTGTCACCAGGTGGGATTGAAAGTAATTGTTTTCGCGTACACTTGTAATATTTGTTACGCTGTCCTTAGTTTTTTATTAAATTGACCATGAATTTACCTTCACTTTTCCGTAGTTCCGATATTGAACGCAGTGATGGCCGATCCTCACTAACGCTCCATATTTCCGTGGCCGGCCAGTGATTATCCCCAATACGTGTCAATCCTTACGCTGCCCCTGATTGTTTGCGTCTTATCAATCGGATAAAGTAAAGAAAGAGGAATATTCACTTTATTAAAAATATTTTCAGTACGCATACTCTTGAAATTCACCAAAAGTTGTACATGTGCGCGAGTTTTAGCCTCAGTTTTTAGCTTGTAAACTATATTGCCGTTAATTCTGGATACCGCAGCCCTTTTATTACGTCATCACGTAATTCGAATTGGCCCTATATTTCGGTCGTGAAGAAGTCAATGTCAACCCCACCACCAATAACATAATTATGTCATTGATTGCTTTAATTTCAGTTAAAATCATTGTCATACAGAGCTCAACTTGTGTGCAGTAGTACAATTTTGCATTCAGACATGTCTGAAATATGTATCTATGTTTTCCGGCTAGATTTTTGACGCTGCTGAATTGTTGTGCCATGACGTTACTCTATGGGCCAAATTGTTTGTGTACAAACAACCATTTGTAAATTTTCGTCGTGATTTGTAGTACACGTACAGTAAAATGTACTACGCGTATGTCATTACTTAATCTTGTACTCCCGCGCGTTCCTGATACCCTGTCGGGTGGAGAGGAAATCATTTGTGTTGTGATCACTGCCGTTGCTGCGGATGTAATGTTTTCACAAGTATTAACACTAGTGGAAAATGATGGAAACACCAAGGTACAATGAAAATTGTTCTTGTGTGCATGAATAGTCAACTTAAGATAATGAAATACTGCAGAGTATTAAACGGAGCGGACATGCATTATTTTCGACACTGACTTGTGCCATTGGTGAAAGGACGTGAGCAATATACAGGATATGAACCTCATAAATGATGGGCCAGCCGTTTCTGCTATGCCCTATAAGTGTTTTTTTTTTTTTTTTGAGACCTTTTCAAACCTAACAGATCCAAACCTTTAGCGTAGGTAGGCGTAGAACAGGTTAGGAATGTACTTTTGTAATGATTTTAGATGACCGCCTGCCAGTTATTCATTTATTCTAGTTCATTTCCCAGCTCCTAAATCACATAATGCTAAAGAAATTGTTTTCAAGATAGACAGACCAGTCTGTATCTCACCAAAAAAACAATTACTGTGGCCCAGAAGTTCACTTGATGACAAGGAGAGCGGGATTGGCACGTGATCGATGACGGCCGTGAGCTGGAAAATTTTCCGTTTTCATGCCCCTAATTCCTCACAAAAGGCAAAAGAAGATCTCGCTATGTAGAAAGTGCTTTGCAATACTTATTCTTGGCGAGCAACATTGCAGCGATGTGGTGCAAATAAGGAGTTTTAACGGTTAACCACGAGAAAACATATCGGCATTAAGAGGTCATAACAGACTAATGTTACTTTCCGTTTGCCGAAACGTGGTTAACCGTTGTATCACGAAGGAAGCAGTGTTTTCCTCAGTTTGAGCTGTCGTTTTCTTTGAGAGTCAGATACCAGTTCACGTTTTAAAGCTCTGTTTTCATTTTTCCTGCCGACAATAGAGAAAAACAGAGGGTTTCGCTTGAGAAATGCAGTCCAAATACACAGACATATGCGCTCATGTCACGCTATTTGCGTTGCGTTATCATGTCACACAGGGTGTCACCAGGTGGGATTGAAAGTAATTGTTTTCGCGTACACTTGTAATATTTGTTACGCTGTCCTTAGTTTTTATTAAATTGACCATGAATTTACCTTCACTTTTCCGTAGTTCCGATATTGAACGCAGTGATGGCCGATCCTCACTAACGCTCCATATTTCCGTGGCCGGCCAGTGATTATCCCCAATACGTGTCAATCCTTACGCTGCCCCTGATTGTTTGCGTCTTATCAATCGGATAAAGTAAAGAAAGAGGAATATTCACTTTATTAAAAATATTTTCAGTACGCATACTCTTGAAATTCACCAAAAGTTGTACATGTGCGCGAGTTTTAGCCTCAGTTTTTAGCTTGTAAACTATATTGCCGTTAATTCTGGATACCGCAGCCCTTTTATTACGTCATCACGTAATTCGAATTGGCCCTATATTTCGGTCGTGAAGAAGTCAATGTCAACCCCACCACCAATAACATAATTATGTCATTGATTGCTTTAATTTCAGTTAAAATCATTGTCATACAGAGCTCAACTTGTGTGCAGTAGTACAATTTTGCATTCAGACAATGAGGGACAAAAGTGTTGAGACACTTTCGTAAAATGGCCCCTTTTTGAATACTGGACTTACCTATCCCCTTCCCCTGTCTACCTCCACCCCTCGCCCCCAAAATCAATGTTGTATTTTGGACCCTCAACTCTTTCTTTTACTTCAGACAACATTGATTCAGGGGGTGAGGGGATTTATGGCGTTTAAAAGGAATGAAATAATAAATGAAGTAAATGTTTGATAAAAGCACCCGTTCTAAACAAGTGTGTCAACTACTTTTGTCCCTGATTGTACCTAAAGATCTTAATAGCAAAAGATCAGTTGCAAGCTTCGCAGCCAAGCCATGATTCCGACTACTTAGGTAGATTAGCTACTTTTAATAACTGGTCCATGCGAGGGTCTTCATTCAAGCAAATTAAACTCAGCAAACTAAATCAGAAAATACAGAAAACTGCACATAAGGATTTCTTTTGCTCGCTTCAGTCAAATCCAGCTCCAGCAATTGTTAACGGGCAAAGAGTCGATTGTTTTGGAGTCACTGCCGGCAGTTGTTGTTCTCCGCGCTACTTCACAGCGAGTGAAAGGAAAATTTGCGTACAGAAAGATAACAAAACTATGTAATTAAAACTGAAAAAACTAAAGGAAAAAAACTCTGACTATTATTACTTGAGCAACAGAAAAATTATCGAAGTGGTCTTTTCTTCTCGAGTAAGCTTGCTGGCCTTCTAAAGTTCCGAGGAAGTTTTAAGCGCCCAAGTTTGTTCACTCCCAAGCATTAGCATTACGGTTCTTTGACATAAGACGAGGATAAAGCCGGTTCTGCGAAGGTAAATAAATCTGGCCATGTAAAAAAACTAACCGTAACTACTAATAACAGAATACAAGCGGGTTTTAATTCAGTCCGGCGAAAGAAGGTGAAGAACTGGACACAAAATCAATTCACAAATCGAATGCACAATGGGCCATTTGCACTAAGAGGTCATGTGACATCGTTTTATGAAGATGAAAGTTATATAATTTTGCCTTCAAAAAATGATTAGTGGGTCATATTCTAAACAAAATAATACTGATTTGGTTTTTCAAACCTGCACCGCTGTCATAAAATGAGTAAGTTTGTAGCTGGTCGCGAGACCAAAATGTGATTTTGAAAATTACAAATCACTTCTTTCTGAACACAAATTTTGCACTTAAACTTCCAAGGAAAATGTTGAAAAATGATGTGGTAACGTTTGTAGCACATCTGAACATAACTATCAAAAGTTCAACAAGATGTAAGCAAAAAGTAGTTTTGGCCGCCATGTTGGAGGGCAAGAGTATGCCCTCCAACATGACGGCCAATACAAATCATACTACTTTGTTGAAAAATCAAAGTGCCATAAAATATCTCCCTTAAATGGTTTTTTCTCTCAAATGTCGCATGTAAGATAATTTTTATGTGCTCTGTCAATTTTTGGCATCAGCAGGATTCCAACTAATCGTTTAAGGGAAGTATTGGTCACGTGACCTCTTAGTGCAAGTGGCCTATTATCAGAAAAATACAAACCTCTTTGGAAATGTTCAAATTGTTTTATTCCTCCTCAGACTGACGGATGATCTGTTTTTAACATTGGTTGTTCTGAATCCAAAGTAATTTTCAAGTGACGAAAAAACAACAACAACAACAACAAAAACAAAAAAAAAGCCTTTAAAAGGAGCAAACTTTCGCACCTCGTGTATTTCATTCAGTCTCAGTCAGAACTTTATATGTAACATATTAATTATTGTTTCTGGGATCGCTACTGAGGGCGTGCTTGTCAGCTACAAAGTTTTTGACCAAAGTTTTTTCCCTGTCCCTAGTATCAGTCTCAGAAGTCATTGTGATAGTTAACTTGGCTCAGTTTTCTTCTTGTTTCTAAATTGATAAATAGAGCCTGTTAACCTGGCTTGCTTTTACTTCAATTGGCCATTTTGTGTCTTCCAGCTGGTTTTACATTTGTGCGTCAAAGAAGAGAATACTTCTACTGGTTAACAGCTCTTTCCACCCATTGTCCTACTATACTAAAAGATTATGTTACTGTAAATTATGTATAAATTAAGTAGTCAATACTTACAGCTGAATCACATATACTTGTGGTATAATGAACATAAGGGCAAAAGTACAACAGCAAGTCTCCTGTTGAAAAAATAAGGTTGCAATTATCAATGCAATATTTATGCAATAAATCAACATCTAAAACTAACTGAATATTGTTATCAGTTCATGAAAAAAAAGATGCATTTTTTTTGTCAATGTATTTAGGACAACGAACACTATTTTAATGTCTCATTCTAGTGATGGAACTCCCATTTACATGTACATGATTTGTAATGTACGTCATCCAAGCCATGCAAAGGTTGGGCCGTTTACAAGGCAATAGAAGTACTTTCATTTCTCAAAACATACTTTATGACCCTGACTTGGTGCATTCTCTACCCCAGTGCTTACGGGTTTGGGAATGTGCGCGTAAGCTCTGGAAACTCTGCGCACTGGAGTAGCCAGAATCTGGCTATTTGGGCCTCACGGCACATGCTATTTGATCCAACTAAAACTTTTTGTTTCTTTTATATCTACTTCATTGCGAAAGTCTTGTGCTGCTTCAGTATTAGAACTGAAGAAATTCAGTTAATGGCCTTGAGGAATATTCAGGTATCTAAGGCTCTTGTGGTAGCTGTTAAACGTTCCCAATCACAGATTTGAGACTTGAAGTTTGCATATGCTTGACAGTTGATTAAATATTTCTGTGGACTACTTCAAGAGGCAGTAAGTGAAACCCAAATGGCTTGTTAAGATAAACGTATCGAAATTCCAATAAAACTTTCCAAAATATGAATTTAGCGTCCTTTTATTTATATGAACATCAGCACTTCAGCGAAGCTGCAGCTTTGAAATGCGATATCATGGGAAAAGAAGACAACTATAAATATCTAGTCGCATTGTACATGCATCACTTTAGGGAACGATTTACTTTTTCTGTTTTTCCTTGCAAGTCTGTTTTAGGCAATTTACGACAAGAAGCTCAAGTTTTCATTCATACTCGGCTACTTTGTGTGAATACAATAACGTGGAAGTCAAAGAAAAACCAGTAATGTGTTATGCTTCTTAAATTATAGCTGGCAAAGATGTCGGTGTATTTTATTTTAGTCTTTCACATTCAAATCTTTTTCTGGTTCAATTTTCGATATGTAGCTAAGCTATTTTATTTGAAAATTGGAAAATCCAGTAATTCTGCCTGATTATTAGTCATGCAAATGTTGTTTTGGAATCACTGAAATCAAGAATCGGCCAGTCATGTTTACTTCAACATTTCTAGGGAAAAACCCGCTCACAAGCCAGACACACCACACATTCAACCGCTCTCGTGCGAACTTGAATGGATCAATCAGCAACACTTTTATTGTTTTTTGCTGAAACAAATCAGAGACAATCTTGCTCCAGGGATCCCCAGAGCTCTTGGTAGCTCTCTCCTCTACATGCGCAGAAGTGCTCTGGGTCGAGATTGGACTTGGTGCGGCCCTGGGAATCGAATCCATGACCTCCTGCTCTGCAGTCAAGCAAGCTACCAACTGAGCTAATCCTGCTGCGGTTTGAGATCAATACAGGCTACTGAATACACGCAACTATAGCTTGGTTATCCATCTGTACCTCTTATACAAAATACGCATACGATACTCTCTTAAGTTGTTGAGGGGTGTTAGAGGGGAGGGGGGGGGGGCAGGGATTTCCCGCAGCTACTATAAGCATGAACCTTCCGCCAAGGTACATGTACTTTCATGCAAAACAAAAGAAAAGCGCAGCTAAAAGTACCCCCCTAACTGTTTGATCCCTGCCTAATAGTTACTGCATATACCTAACAAATTCAATAGGTGTTTGCCCTGACCCAAATCAAAAAAGGAAGCAATCTTTTAATTGGATCAGGGCTCAACAGTCGTTCAATGGACAATGTCTTGCCAAGATGACCATGCATTTTTGTCCTCATAAGCTTTCGACTTCACCAAAAACTAACAAAATTTAAGTTAACTTACGCTGCTCCTCGGGAATCTTGTGCAAACCATCTGGTAAAGTGATAAGCGCAGTGAGCAACAAAGTAATACCACATTCTGTACGCTAAAGTCGGTCCCTTGGAACTCTTGGACCATTCATCACGATAAAACTCAACTTGTAAACAATCGCCGATAAGCTCCCACACACTCTGTATTCTACATTTTCCAATCAAAGCTTGATTTTATAGCCTAAGAGACCTAAAGAATCCTTAAAATTGGCTTGAGATAGGATTTCTCAAAATGCTTAGGTTGCGCAGAAAATATTTACGTCTTCATGGGAACTAAGCTACTCTGGAATTTAGCCACCATGATGTGTCCCATGATTCCTTACACTACGTTCAGTTACGTTCAGTTGGTTTCTCTCGTCTGATTGGTGTTTCTTTCCGTCCAAGCGGGACAGGAAAAATTTTTTTCTTACACTCAAGACTCCATTAATACTGAAAAAGAGGTTGAAATTGAATTTACTGATAAACTTTAGAAATACTTTGCAAGGATCTCATGCTCTTTTATCGCTTCTGCGTTTCGATTAGAGGTCTGGGTACTAGATTGTTGTGCTCGTCCAACATGGCGGATCTAAAAGGCAGTGCACTGGTTATTTTGGCCGAAGGTGCTGAAGAAATGGAAGCAGTGATCACCACAGACGTGCTTCGACGTGGGAAGGTATCTTGGCGTATGTAACCGCTTCTAATAAGTTTGTAGGTGTGATATTTATGAAAAATGAGAATGCAGTTCATGAAGTACACACCTCAAAGTATTGCCAAACATATAAGCTTAATTATTTGCAAGCTTAATTAGGAAGACCTCAGATAACAACATATATGCCAACTGTCCCGGATTATCCGGAAGTCTCTCGGATATGGCACCGATCTCCCACTATCCCGTATGGGTTACCAAATCTCCCGGATAAAATCATCTTTTGCGCTTTTCTGTGCTTTAGTTTGAGAGTTAGCCTATTTCCCTCTCCAAATTTGAATTTTTTTTATTCGTAGTAGGGTTTCAGGGGCAGTATGCACTGAAAAAGATTATTTTGGCATCAAAACGATGAACGTGAATTTTTATAGTATGTAACGTCATGTAAGACTTCAAATAATGTCCATAGCCATTCCCATTGGGGACTGGGTCAATTTGTTGGGGGTCCGTTGAAATTCGGGGGATGGGGGGTAGTGAAAAAGAGACAGTCTCCAGATTTTAGATCTCCAGAGATTGGCATCGCATCTCTGTAACAATGACCTCAACCAGGTTGACGTCCAGCAATTTTAGTGACAACAAGGGATTGGGTGGGGTGTTCAGTCTCGTGGACTCATAAAACCTGGTCATGGTCATTCTTATTTAAGGATTTTCACTTAGTTAATTAAACTTACTTGATTTATCCGATCCAGCCACCCAAAAGGTGGATATCACCAAAAACCAAAGAAATCTCTATCTGCTGGATAGTTTAGTTGGTTTCCCTAATACTTATCTACTGGATAGTGATTTATCCGGTGGATAGCGCTTTCCAGGGTTTTAGGGGTATCCAGTAGCTTTTGAATGACTGCCAACTGTGCCCAGCAGTGAGTGGGTTGGTGGGTTGGTAGGTGTGGCTCTTTGGATGCAAAAAAAGGACGGTATTTAGGGGTCGGACTTCTGAGTACAGTTATTTCTCTTTTAGTTCATGTCCTATTGATTGTCAGTTTTATGTGAAATTCACACAGCTTGATGCAAGAATGTTTAAATATAGCATATATTTGAATATTTGTAATGTAGTTGTTACATATTAAAGTTTTAATTAACTTAACAAGTTAAAGAGTATTTATCAGAACGGTTTTAATTTGTAGATTTTGTTTCAGGTTAAGACAGTGGTTGGAGGTCTTGCTGGTGCAGATCCTGTCACATGCAGTCGATATGTTGTGGTCAAACCAGATATGAGTTTAGAGGATGCCATTAAGCAGGTAGGAGGTAACATGTAAAAAAAGGAAAATTTGTCTTCTTTCTTAGAAAAGGAGTCCCTTAGAAGTTGCCTGGAATTGTCTAAAACAGAATACTTTCAGTCCAACCGGAAAAGTTTTGCGGAAACAAGTCCGCATTTGAAGCTGGACCAGTTGTCTGTTTTGGACCTGTCTTAACCCATTTGCCCCTGAATCACCCATAGCTGCCCCTGCAGATTCCACATCCCTTCTACTGCCTGTGACATCCTCAGTTTTAATGGCCAAGGACAACTTTGTCTGCTAACTTGTGCAGGGTGAAGAGATCTTTCAAACCATACCAGAATGAGCGTGATTCAGTCAAGGAGACTGGAGAAAAAGGCAAAAAAAACCATGTAACATTGACCCAAAAATTTCCATGAAAATCCTGTTTCACCCACCTACCTTTCCTTTCATCTAATTCCAAAATCCTAAAAGCTTTCCCAAAAACTATTCCCAGCAAAGTAAAGCTTAATAAATTCCCAGCAAAAGAGAAAAAAAAATGGGGCAAGAAAAGACTCGTGAATTTATGAAGAGGAGAGGAAAACAAATGCAAAGAAAAAGTAAAGACTGTTGTGTCAATTTTCAACCCAAAAAATTTTGCTTTCTGCGCATGCTCAAACTTCGCAAGCTAACATTTTGCATCTGGATCAGAAGGCCAGAAAGGCTAGGACCTGTAAACAGCTTTGTGGTATAAGTTTTGCATTAGCTCTTTATACATGTAGTCAGACAATGACTAGAAAACTGCTCAACCAGCTTCCAAACGCATTTTTTGGCAAAATCCCCAGGAGTGAATGGGTGATCACATGAACGGTGCCATTCTATAACTATTTTTTAAATTTTTGACCATTCCCTTTATAAAGACCAAAACTTTTGGAAATTCAAATTGAAATTGAAAATCAGTTTTTTTTTTGACATTGTGTAGACAGCTCATAAGGAACATGGAGCATAAGATGAACAATGCTTGAAAGGAGAACACAGCAAGGGAAGAGGGAATGCTTGTTTGATAGAAAAAGTTTTACTTTTATTTTTAGGGTCCATATGATGCTGTTATTTTGCCTGGTGGATTAGGAGGATCTAACAACCTTGCTAAGGTATTTATATTTTTTAATTCTAAATGAAAATTTTGAGAGCTGATGAGAGGCAAAGGCTTACTTTAATTCTGTATGATTTACAGTCTGCGAAAGTTAAAGAGATCGATTCTCCAGGAACAAGAGCAAAGTGGAAGAATAATTGGAACAATTTGTGCTGGTAAAGAAAATTTACTGTGATAAAAGGCCTAGGTGTAAACTCTGGAAAACTGGTCCTTTTTTTTTGTTTTTCTTCTTTTTAACGTACTTGAAACATCTAGAGAATGATCTGTCAAGATTTAATTAGTAACATTCTGAAAATCGTAATCAAGTTGAAAAATTCTTATGATTAAAATTTGCCAGGGTTTTTCACTCTCTGAGTTTGAGATGACTTGAATCTGATACGAGCCAGATAGCAGCAATTTGTTTAATTGTGCAAGTGATCACAAAAATGTTTTTAAAGGCCCATGGGGATGCCTTTAATACAATGTACTTTGCTGTCAGGCTCAGCTTAACAATTTTTAGACGTATCCTTAAATCTTATGAGGCTCCCTTAGTCTAACTGCATTATGGAGTTAGACGTCTACAACCTTTCTGAGATTGGGAATGATAATATTGCAGCTGGAACTATTCAGAACTGGAACAATCTTACCAGGTAGAGTGATTTTCGTATGACCTTGAAAAATGGTTTTGGTAAGTGTTAATGTTATTTACCTTATCCGCCAAAGAAAACCGTACTATGGAGAAGGCATTGTTCAATTGGTCAATTGTGTTGCAATATGGCGTCAAAGTGAAGTATCGACTGATTTAAAGAAAGTTCTTTGGGCATGAATTTTTTTCAGCCGAGTGTTCGGTTAACCAGCCAAAAGCCATGCACATTTGTTCACTTGTTTTCATTTCAATTTCAAACAAAAATCACTCTTACCCTAACACTGTTGCAGGTGGCTAGTGGGCAAGCCTGCCTCTAAGTATGATAATTGAAGCCTAATTAATAATCCATAAAATAATGCAAAAGGTATTTTGATCAGCACTACTATAGCTAAAGCTTGTTGCCTTAGGGTGCTTTTTCTATTCCGGTTATCAGTGTTCTCCTTATCAGGTGGTAACTGGTAAAATTTACCCCTTGAAGCAACACTTCTTACCACCTGCAACTGCTTTAAGTGTTACTATAATTAAACATAAATAAGTTGTCTCAAAAAACATGCAAGTTGTACGTGATCCAAGCCAATCCTCACAAGTAAAGGAAGTAAATGCGGAAAAACAAAAAGTATACACAGCTATTCTCTCTGATTACTTATTTAAATGCTAACTGGTACCTTTCAAAGCACTGCAGGCTAACAATTTTTTCATGGGTTTCTGTCCCAATTCTAGAATATTTTCTCGACCAGTAGGAAAAGTTCACGTCTCCCGCGACTTGTGTTACTAAATTAACCCTCTAGCGGTAAATGCAGGCTTCATTCATAAAATTCTTTGTTTTGAGGTGTTAAAAGTACTTTTCAGTCAATTGATTGACAGGATGCTCAAAAATAAAAGCCTTAATGAATGAAAATTCTCTCCCCCTCCGCCATGAGAGTGCGCCTCTGGTGCATATTTTTGGTCTTACTGGTCAAAAATGTTTTTTAACTTGCTGAGCTAAAATTTAGGGAGAACACTGGGTTATGAGCCCGTCCTTTTATAAGCCCTCCTAAGATGTAAAAGCCCCTGGCTTATAAGTGCAGTTCATGTTACATGTATGTCTTAAGTCGACATAAGACCAGTGCAGTCAACTCTCCCGGATAATCCGGGAGACCCTCGGTTTTGAACCTTTTCTCCCGGTCTCCAGATTCGACTTTCTGTCAATGAAGTTTAAAATATTTTGCATTGTTTGAGCTATTTTAACTTTTATCATTGAACGTTTCCTCAGAAAGCATAGTATGCCATTGTAATATTTAAGCAATAATGTGATTGGTGGAGGGGGAAGTAAACCAATCAAGTACAAATGTTACAATTCCAACAACATCTTTTTTGCATGTTTTATTGCACAAATGACGTCATGTTTCGTGCATTATGACATCACCTATTATCCCTTCTCTGTCAATTCTCAATATTTGAAGATGTCAGGGGTTGACAGCCCTGTAAGACTGAGTCTACTATTTTGCTTTTCATATCTTAATAGTACAGAATATAACGCAGTAACTTTTGTTTTCATTGTTTTGTGGAACACCTAGTCTCCCTCGCAGCCGTTTTTTGGGAGCATTACGTGACATCCAAAAAACGGCTACGAGGGAGACTATGGAACACCTCGAGGTCTGAAACTGAAGAAAATGTAGGTCCTAGTTCAAGCCTTGTTGTCATACTTTTTCCTTAGTCAAAAAACTTTGCTCCACTTTATATCTCAGGGGGAGGGTGCAGGGGGTGCGCACCCCCCCCCCGAGATGACCTGCGGTTTTCTAATACAACTGGTATTCTGCAAAAAAAAAAACTATGTGGTTTATTGGTGTTGAAGTAGAGCAAGAAACAAGTGCACCCCCTCCTAAACAAAATCCTGGATCTGCCCCTGTATCTCTTCACCCAAGTGTATAACTAGGTACCAGCGACTTGGTGTGATGGACTAACATCCTATTCAGAGGGGATAGGGTGGTAGAAATATTTCCAGCTGCTTAGTTTTGCCATGGAAAATGGAATAAGCTCCGTGCTGATGAGCAATTTGGTTTGTATGCAGACTTTAACCTAAACCTTTGTTTCATACTGCAGCCCCAACTGCTCTTCATACTCATGGAATTGCTAAAGAAAAGATTGTCACATCACATCCTTCTGTCAAAGATAAACTGGATCAGGTATGTTTTCACATGACTGCATACATTTTTCATTCTAAATTGAAAAATAAACAAATATTTGTGTAGCCTGCATATTTTTTGTAAAAAGCTAAAACTGGCATTACCATGAGTTGCTATACCATTTTAAGGAAGTTAATTTTTAGACAATTAGGTTGAATATTTTTTGCCAAGTCTTCATTTGAAATTATTGTTTGACTCACCAAGCAGCACTGTATGTCCTGTAAGCACAAAATGGCTCTAAAGTGTTTTTTTAGTTGACCTTATTATTTACTTTGGCTAAGTACTTATTAGTTTCCATTTCCATTCACGAAGCGAGGGTATCAAGCACATTTTTCGGTGGTTTGAAGGCCTCTCGAAGGTGAAAATTAAAAAAAATTATTATTTTGGAAAATATTGAGTCAAACGAACTGAGTCTTGTATTTTCTAAAATAGTTTCCAAAGGGCTTTGTTGGGACAAAGTTTGGGGATTTCGATTTTTCCATCTTGCACACCTATCCGTGGTATTTACAGAAAGTCGCTCTTAAGCACATTCTACAGAAAAAAGACATGTTTAGGCTGAAAACGGTGGAGCATAATTGACAGAATTATTTTTATGTGGCTGTGTCCATAATATTAGAAAAAAGGAGATTTGAAAAAAAGGAAGTTACATGTACATTATTGTATGATCTGATCTGATTCTCACAGAGAAAATGAATAAATATATATGGCAAAGTACTTAAGTATACACAGCATTTCCTTTTATGGGCCACTCATTTTGGAAAGAGAAGATTAAAGACAGAGTAAAATTATTGCAATCAAATGTTGTAATTAAATTGTCTTAAGAGAACAAGAGCCGATTTGCATAAAATACACAATGTAGGTCTTAAAATGAGGGAATGACGTTTCAGAGATTACTTAGCTCGTAAATTTCCTATCGGGGGTGGGGCCATGTCCCTCACTCCACTACCCCCTTCCCCCAGGGAAAGTGCAACTCTGGTGCATATTTTTTGCCTTACTGGTCGTGAATGGTCCCTTACCTGCTGAGCTAAAATTTGGGGAGAACATTGGTCTTGCCCTGTCGAGACTCAGCCCAGTTTGTGCCTTGAGAAAAGATTTTGTTTTGGTGGTATAATAAATCCTTTATTAATAACCAAGCTTGCTCTGTCATTTTTACATTTTACTTCATCTTACCCCACAAAAGTGTCAGGAAAAAAAGAACTTGTCTATTATCCAGCCCTCTTGCTTGTTTCGTGCTTTTTCAGTGGGTACCTATTGCGCCCAAGTGACTTATTTCATTTTTATTGCGCTAGATAATGTACTGTACATGTACATGTAACTGAAAGTAAGTAAACAAATAAAACATAGTTGTTAAAAATAGGTAAGCAAATGTGGCTGAAATAGTTTGTTAATTTGTGTTTTGTTGTTGATTCGTTAACAGACCTGAGCACAGATGAATCTGACTTTTCTGACAGTGATCATGATTACACAGAACCACCAACTGAAGAAAAAGATGAAGAGGATGGTGATGACCACAATGATGGTAATTCACAGTAACATCCTTCCTAGAAATTATCATTCAATTAACCCTTTAAGTCCCAATATCCAAATACAAATTCTCCAAACTGGTCTCCATACATTTCCTTAGAGAATGAGTTAAGAGAATTTGATAAAAGATCAAAGTATTTTCTCTTTGGTGGTCATATTATTAATTCTCATAACCTAATCTCTTAACGATGTATGGATATTGTTAGGAGAATATTGATGTTGGTCACCATTGGGACTTAAAGGGTTAAGGATTAAACAGTGCATAAACAACACAGCAGTATCTCTGTTACATAGTCAACTATTTGTAAGACAAACATGGGCAGTCTTAGTAGTGTTTACCTCTTGCACATGTAGGTCATAGGAGTATGTTATATGAAACCTGTACGTGACACAAATAGTGTGCCTGGGTTACCTGTGGTCTTAGAAGAAAGTTGACCATATACTGTTCAGTATTATCGAAACTGACATTTACTCCAGATGAGCACTGATAAGCCTTTTCAGCCAGGTGATGCTGTTTGTGTCCGTTATTAAAACATTTTTATTTTTTATGTTATTTTTCAGCATCATCAGAACATTCCTTCTCGTCAGATTCCTCTCATGATTACTGTGTTCCCCCAGAGAGCATCTCTCCTCCTGAACCCCAAACAATTATGGGGGATGTTTATGATGAGGTGGATGATCTTTATGCAGAGGTGAGCTGTGTAGAAAATTATTTTCATGTAAGTGTCTTGGGTTCCAGTTACATGGGCAGGTAGAGTTTTTTGGGAATTTACAGTAAGATAAAATGTTTCAAATTCTTGCTAAATTCACGTGGATGTGCATCTAAAGCTGATTTTCAAGCTGTTCTGACAAAGTGGAATTACAGTGTAATTACACTGGAAACCAATTACACTTTCCAGTGGATAGAGATTTATCCAGTTGATAGCGCTATCAACCCTTTGAACAACTGAGGCGAGTACTTTAACTTCATCTTGGTCCAAACGTAAAAAAACTTGTCTTGACCTAACGCATACAGCTCAGTAACACAAATGTACTGTTACCCCTTGCTCCCTGTCATGATGTGACTACCCTTAAGTTTTACATTGAACATCTTTTGAATTTAAGTATAATTTCAGCTTCTTTACCACCATAAAATGGTTATTATAACAAGGTATTTAAATTTTTACTAGCTTTCATATTCCATAGCCTCTCCACAAGTCAGATGAAGAGGAATTTTCTTCAGGTAAAGACATTTTGTTAACAATGGTTACATAAAAGGTTTTAAAAAAATGGTTTAAAGGCTTGTTTATTGTGGAAAGTGCACTTAGCTTATCCAGCTAGTTTACAGGCACTCCAGTCAAATATTTAGAAACAAATAATAATTCAAATACAACGTAACAGGATTAAAAACCCCAACTGGCAGGAGGCAACCACTTGGCTATTTACATGTACAAGAGTTGGCCAGGATTTGAACTCAAGACAACCGAGAGCAACTCTAGCAATTCGCCAGAGCGGGACTCGAACCCGGGACCGCCGGATTGCAAGTCCAACACGCTGACCACTAGGCCCTGCTGCCTTCTTATTAAATGACTTATGACTGAGTAAATTCTAATTCCATCCGTCGTCATGCGAGCGATAAAACAAAATCAGATGACCATGTAGTGTCAGAGAGTCGGGTTTGTTTACTCACAAGGTTGATAACACACTAGACTGTATGACCCAAAACCTTAACAATAATTATTGATCAAGTTTTGAACATTATAATGTTTCATTTAAGTGTTAAAACGTATTCATTATTGGAGCATGATAACAACTAGTAGGTACTTGCTTTGCCACAACATGGGCCAAATTTAAGGGCTTGTAAAATCATTTCTTTTACGTCAAAAGATCTCAGATTTTGGATCTGAACTTTGAATGATAAAGTTTATAGCTACAATGTACACAAAAACGGTTTTCGTGCCTTGTACTATAGGTGCGATTTGTTTGCATTTTTTTTCAGGCGAGCAAAGGCAAGTGGAAAGTAAGATGGGCCCATTGGGCGTGTGTCTCTCTCTCTATGCCTACTTTGAGCTTGCCTTTGCTCACCTGAAAAATAAAAAAGCGCCTCTTCTGCAGGCTACAGTTATCGTTTCAAGGACACTTTAACCGTTATGTGTTTATGTTTGTTTGTAGATGAAGAAAGAGACACTTTTGCAGAAGGTTAGTATTCATGGCAAATTAGTCTTTCCTGGCCTTCCAGGATTTATATTTATGCAACATTTAATTGACTAAGGGGACATCATCCAGAGCTCTTTCGGTCTCCATTTTATGTTGGGAAAAAAAATAGGGCCAAAAAGTGTGACTGAATCATTTGTATGATGGAGGAAATGCAATGTTCATGTATATGTTACAGGTCAAATTTGATTTCAGGTTAATTTTGATTTAATGTCGGTCGATTCTTAATTTCCTTTGTTTTCTAGCCCTAATTCATGAATAATTAGGGTTAGGAGACAAAGCAAATTGAGAATCAACCTAGGTTAAAAAAAATTTAACCTGAAATCAAATTTGACCTGTAACATATACAGCAAAGAATGCCTTGTTTCTCCGTTGTACTATCTACTCTGACTCAACGTTAAGGTTTCATTTCAGTTCTTTAAAAAGAATTAAAAATGAGCGAAAAAAGCTTTGGACGATGTACCTTGAATGAATGCAGCAAATTTTAAGTGAAAACATAAACTGGCCTAGAGTTTTACATCCGTGATTGGTTGGTTATGTACAAGGCACGGGGGTAAGTGGCGAGTTTTCTAGAATCTTGTAGTGATCCAAAAATTATGCAATATTTCAAGTTTCAGAATAACAAATACATCTATGAAGTAACTGAGCAGCACAGTTTGAGTTAACATGTTCTTTACAGTCTCTTTTTTTGTGCATGTAGCCATTGCATAACCTTTGCTTTTTCTTTCACTTGTTTTAACAGAGCCCTTGTACCAGGTCTATACCCGGTGCACACTGCAGCGTCAGCGAAGCATTAGTTGACAGCGCATGAGCAGTGACAGCAGTGATAAGTCACTAACGGATGATGAAGCCTTCTTGGAACAGCTAGAAAAAGGAACGCTGAGAAACATGAGAGTGCTTTGGTGTGAATTACCAGAGGTTTGTTGATAATCATATAGATATAATAATAATTTTCTCTTAAAATTGAAAGGAAATGTTAAGGAAATTAAATTTAACAATAGTGGCGATAATCTGTGAGTGAAAGGGTTCAGGTTACGTTGGATCAATGCAGCCAGATAATAAATGGTAAATATTCAGTGGAATACTTGATACCTCAACTTTGGATAAAGAGTTAGCTTACGTCAATCAATGCCTTCATAAAGGCTGTAGCAAAGCAAGATTTAGATGTCTTTTTAACCCTCCACTGTAAAAAGTGTCTTGCTCATCTTTTTATAACCTTTTAGGCAATCAATTGTAAGTAATGTTTTAACAGTTTGATTTTTACACATTTTTAAATTTTTAGTGAAATTTAAATTCATTTTTCTCTAAACGTATCTAATTCTGTAGGAAGTACACAAATACTTTTTTGAGTTTAGATTAGTGCTCTTGCTTAGTAGGAAACCGTTATCCATCTATCTACATGTTAACAATCTTTTGCATAGAGGATACGTAAAGTTGTCTCCAAGTAGAATGAGCAATTCAAAGGTCTTTTCATGATATGCTCCTCTTCCGCAGGTCAAAGAAAGTGGCATTTTAGACAACATAAAACGAGAGGAACGCAAAAGACAAGAGGTAAGTAATATAATTATATAAATGGATTTTAGTATCATACAATAAGCTTTATATTTGCATCTAAATCCAGCTGTATGGTCTTTATAAAGAGTCTTGCAGACTTGGAACATTGGAGTGTGGTACTGTCAACTTTTTCTAAGACGGACATCTTCTGGACCTGCCCCGACTGTCTGTCTTAGAGAGGTGTCCGGCTTATAGAGGTTCGACGTAACGTGATACTAGTAAAAACTTTAGCTGAACTTGTTCGCATTGAATACACGTCTGTTTAACTTATGCAAAACAGCTAAAACTGCAACACTGTAACAGTGGAGTCATTTTCTTGTCTATGAATCAAACGTTCATTTAAAGAAAGTGTCCACGGTTTCGTGGTATAAAAGCGTACAATGTAACAGTATAAACTTTGCAAACTGAAGAAAGACTACAAAATATTAAAGATTTTGTAATTTACAATCTTGTAGAGCACCTACATTAATATTTCCGTTTTGAGGTATTTTTCACTGCACAAAGCACTTCTCAAGTGTTTGTTGATGGTTTCAATAGTGTCTGTTGTCCGTCTTAGAGATGTGTCCGTCTTATAGTAAAGAAAACACTCAACTGGACCTGAGGTCTAACACTTGTGGGATGCAGCTACTGTTCCAGCAGCTATAAGTTTACTTAGCGACGCATCTGCAGTACGTATACCTACAAGACGAATGGTGGGACTCCCGATCTGAGCACTTAAAATAGAAATTTTGGTTTACTGTGCCTTTCAATGACATGCAACACATGGTTAACTTCATAACATTCTTGCTTCTATTTTTAATGACAACGAATATCAACCAAAAGAAATGATAAGCTAATCACTTCAGTTCAAAACACCCTCACTTTCAAAACGAGGCTAAGTGTGAAAAGGAGTCTCATTTGCATGAGAATAAAAAGCTTCGCTTTGAAACAGAAGTTTGGGGCAACTTGTTAATGGCCTATAGGACATAGGGTCACACAGGGCCACTATGTCTTGAGATATACGCGTTGATACTGAATCGTGAAAGTGAGAACTTTCATTTGAACTATAAGGTCGCATAGTATTAAGGAGAGTGCTTTAACTGTGTTGATTGCAGGCAATGTTTGAGGTGATTACGTCAGAGGCAAGTTATCTCAGAAGTCTAAATATTCTGATGTCACAGTTCATCAAATCAGAAGAGTTGAACGCAGGCTCCTCGCTATGTGTTTTAGAACGAGGCCAGTCACATGTGCTGTTTTCTAATATCAACTCCATCAAGTCTGTCAGTGAGAAGTAAGTTAATGCAGCCTCTCTGTAATAACAGTTTTATTAAATAAGTAGGGGTTGATGATTCTTAGGCATATGTTTAACCCTTTAAGCCCTAATATCAACATACCAATTCTCCACACTGATCTCCATACGTTTCTTAAGATTCAATTGAGAGAATTTGATAAACGATCAAAGCGTTTTCTCATTGGTGATCACTCTCGAGACTTCGGATAGTTCTTGGGTCTACACGAAAACAATACCGGATAGGGCTTCTGTTCACACTCAAGAACAGTGATTTCGGCGCCGTTTCTGTAAGACTAACGGCGAACTCGGAAGTGAAGCGTCACATACCGGATAGGTTCTGTGCCACACTTTGGTGCTGTGTTACAGGTTTTCGGACTCTGGGGGAAGTGAATATGAAAATCCAAATTCATTTTTATGAGCTTCACCGGCCAATTTGGTCACCAGGGTGATTAAATGAAGAATTGCTGCCATTTTTATGATCACTTTATTTTCGTTTCGTTGTCTGTTAAGTTTTGTTTGTGTTGTTTTATTGTTTGTTTGTCGGCTTTGCCAATTTAAAAGGGCTTGTTTTTCACTATGTATCAAAGTCAAGGTATTTACCTAAACGAATGTTTCACTTTATGGTTAGAATGTTTGTTACTGATCACTTGTTCATTACCTTGTAGCTTTCTCCAGGCCTTGCGTGCACGCCAAAAGGAAGCTGTGGTTATATCATCTATCAGTGACATTATTGAACAACACTTTTTATATCGTTTTTGTTAGACTAAAATACAGTTAAAATCCGCGACTAAGAACCTTGTTTTGAAGAACCTGTTTAGCCTAAAATTTGAAACAGGTTCTTATTTCAGTTCTAAAAATGTCTATGAAAAAAATTCTGTACACTTGGGCAAATAAGAAAAGTCCACATTGAGGATCCTCTTTGGAGACATAGGTGCATTAATTACTCCAACTCCAACTGCAATTGTAATGGCATATAAATTTTTATAATACGTAAAGAATGAACTGAATTCCACCAAATATTCTTAGCTAAAATGCAGGTTCCTACTCGCGGGTTTTTACTGTGTTCACCTTTCCCAGCTCTGCAATCAGATCTGTTTTTCTTACACATTATACCTGCTTAAACTCAGCAAAGAAAGCCCAGTTTTTGCTCTCATCACTCAAAATCAGTTGTAAAAACTCATGTGCTGTTCTTAGCCTACTATCTCTCGTCATGAATTTGTATCCCATAACAGGCTACCCAGTGCTTTGAGGTTTACGTCAAATACTGTTCCAATCAGATCTATCAGGATAGAGCATTCAGAAATCTAAGGTAAGCTGAAAAAACAGATAGCGTTTGTATTTTTTTAGTCAGTAAGGCCTAACTAGTCTCGCCTTGCTAGAAGAGCCTTCCTTTCACTTGCTCGATTTTGCCGTACTGGAGTGAGACTGCATCAGGGTTCGTACAGGTCATGGAAAACCCGGAACTGAGTCATGGAATCTAAGAATTGCATTTTCTAGGCCTGAAAGTCATGGCATTTAATTGTCGGTCCTTGAAAGTCATGGAAAATTGAAGTTTTGTTTGGTAGATTCGTTACTGCCGATGACAAATCAAGGACAATGTAAGAGCGAAGTCACTGAACAGCGCAAAGATCTTTGTTGAGCATGCGCTGCTTGTTGCTAGGATACAGCTTCAAAACCAGGCCTAATATCCGTGCACTTGGTACAGAAGGCTCAGTCATGACCACCTGCTTAACAATAAACGGATGTTCGCACTCAAAAAACCGGTTTGACGAAGAAACAAGATTTACTCATCCAGAAATTTGGATTTCGGTGACTTCAAAGAGTTGACGTGATTCAAGCAGAGCTTTCTTTTTTCCTTCTCAGCAAAGAAGGCAAAAAGAGGCTCTACTCACAGGGTGAATCAATCTAAAAACAACTGGTGCAAACAAGAACAACAAATATTAAACAGCTGTTATCGTAAGAAGCAGCGCAGTGGCGGATCCAGACCTTCAGATAAAGGGGGGAGGGGGGGGCGGTCATCCAGATCCTGAGACAAAGGCGGGGGAGGGGCGGGGTCTCCAAAAAAAATTTTCGGCCCTTCGGGCCTTAGTTTGGTCCAAAAATAAGGGGAGGGCGGGCCCCCCGGCCCCTCCCCTGGATCCGCCACTGAGAAGAGTGATCATTTTTGTAAGGTAACTACAGCTCTCGTTTTAATTTTAGTTCATCAATTTTTATCTCTGCCAGGATAGAGCTGCTAAAATGCTTGTCAATTTAATACAAGGATTTCACAGTGAAAGATAGGGATGTCAGTCACGATACATGTTTTGTCTAACAATTTTTTTTACACAAGAAAGCTAGTTCTGGTACCGCTCTCACTCGTTAGTGTCTTTCACGAGTGTCTCAAAGCCGGTATTCGAACACAAATTTTTTGGGGGCTTTATTTGAGTGTCAATGTATTTAGCACGAAAGTACAAATTGGGGACAATAGAGTACCGAAGTGTGACGTCATAAAAAATGAAATTTGTGAAATTATGGGATTTGTTAAGCTATTCTGAAAGAACAACGTCCAAGACTCCTACTTGCCAAAAATTAGCAATTTGGGGCAAATTGTCTCTGAGATATTAGCCCAGTTATGCTCCGATGACTCCATACAAATCCTTCTAATGCACCTATCAATGTAAACCCCGGGGGGGGAGGCGGGCAGGGGTGGGGATTTGACAAATTTTAAAATTTTTCGATCAAATTCCCCAGGGTGGGAAACGAAAGGTCAATCAAAAGTGTCAAAAAAGCCCCCACCCCAGGGGAAAAAATCTAAACAAACAATGCTATAATACTATATAAAACGAATAAAAGAACATTTCAAACACCCTGTTACTACTTTTATTTACGGTTAACGGAAGCTCCATTAAATTACTCGTTGTAATTAAGTATTTTCTCTCTCCACTAGCATCTCTTATCTTGAACAACAAAATCACTCCAGGAAGATTGACCGTGCTATATAATATTGATAAAACTTAAAATGCTTTATAACATCTGCTCAACATGTCGGAACAGGTCGGATCAGTGACCCATCAAAAATCCTCTGACTTTCATGGTGGAATTCGATTTCAATCGAGTTTTACAATCAGATGGGAACTTGAAGATAAAAACTTTCTCAAAATAGACATTATCTGTTTAGATGACAGTTTAAAGTATCGGATTATGGCGATTAAAACAAATGAAAAGTTCATACCTTTCTCCAACAGCGTGACTTTCAGGAAACCTCGAGGGACGGACTTGGTAACTGCTTCTGAATTGATACCAGGCTTCTGTCGGTCAAAGTCAAATGTCCCGACCCCGGGGTCGCTTCGCACGATCAAAAGCCTGATAGCGGGGATAGTCCCAGGCATCAAATCCCCTCCCCTTGCCCGCACCCCCCCACGGGATTTACATTGATAGGTGCATAAATCTTACCTGGTTCCTAATCTTATGAACCAAGCCAAATTTAGAAGGATTTGTATGGAATCGTCACAGCATAACTGGGCTAATATCTCAGAGACAATTTGCCCCGAATTGCTAATTTTTGGCGAGTAGGCGTCTTGGACGTTGTTCTTTCAGAATAGCTTAACAAATCCCATAATTTCACAAATTTCATTTTTATGACGTCATCACTTCGGTACTCTATTTGTGCAGTTTGGTGTGTTGAGAACTAAACATGCATTTTTTTGTTATTTTACAGAAAGAGTGTGCGTTTTTCGGAGGCTATGAAGAGACTACAAAGCAGAAGGGAAGTACAGGGTTTGACACTGCAGTCATTTCTTGTTCTTCCCATGCAGAGAATAACGAGGCTTCCTTTGCTTGTGAATGTAAGTATTTTGAATATCGAATTCCAAATTTCATCATCTCTACCAGGCATTCGCCACTGTAGACATGATGAGACTAAGCCGGGTTAAATTTCGTAAAGACTTCTAGGACTGTTTTTGGCGATGGAAAGTAATGAGCCAACAGCTCACCGGCGCGTCCCCAGCAGCGATGCTAGAAGTCTTTGCGAAATTTAACCCGGCCCAGCTTTCTTCTCGTTACCTACAGTGGCAAAATGGTCATTTTCAAGTCGAAATGCACTACGGGACGGTTTTGGAACACCTGGTCATCTTTGGTTGGCTGTCACATTTTGCATAGAAAACTGAATCAAAATTCGTCCACTAGAACAGTGCCACGGTGCAGTTCGAAACGCCACCGACCCAGTCTTCTGCGCGACCTCCAAATAGCCGATACCCTGGGCACTACAAGGTCAAGTCAAACTCTTTAACCCAATAAAACTTCTCCTTCGGCGCAAAAGATAGTTAAATGATGGAACTATTCTGCGTTTAAGGGGTTAGGAATTCGACTCGACAAGTTTTGGGAAAAGGTGTCTGACTTAGCGTGTCTATTATTTGTGCCAATCCTGAGGTGAGAGTGTGGAAATAACTGTATATTTGACCAAACCCACACGCTAAAGACGTTTCTGGCTCTCCTGGTGTTACGTTCCTTTGAGTTACTATTAAGAAAGTTTTTGTTGATATTTTTGTCATTATTTTGTGTCACTCTTCTTAGGCCATCTGTCAACACTGTGAAGCTGGAAGTGAAGAGTTTAACAGATCAAACCGGGCGTTAGCTGCTATCAACAAGGTGAAGAAAACTGAACAAAAACTTCATCTAATTTTGGTTTTCTCGCCATTTTACTCCGTGGATATCGCGGAGGTGCCGTAAATTTAATCAAGGCCGTAGTATCATAATGTAAGCTAGGCTGCATCGTGTTATTGTAAGAAACACTGAGCGTTTTTTGTTAATTTAAACCTCTAACCTATTACCGCTTCCCTGGTTTCGTTCAATATGATTAAAGAAAATATGTTTTCTTTGACACCTTGGTGATGAGTAAGGACATTTTAAGATCGTTTCACGGACATACGCATTTATTTCCATGTTTTCTCCACTTCCTCGTCCCCTGTCCTAAAAAAAATATTATTTCGTTCTCAAAGTCCAAAGTTAAACTGCTCTCTGAGTTTGGGATATCTTCAGGACTCAATGTAATTGGAGGCTTACGATGTGTATTTTGTAGATAGTAAATGATTGCAATGAAGGGGCAAGAAAATGGAACGAATGGAGGAAATTTGTGTTTTGCAAACGCAAATATAATTCAAAACAAAGGTTAGAAAACAGTTTGATTGCTTATTACTTAGGATAAGAACCGAGCGCATTAAAAAGGTTTTTGTTTGTATGTTTTTGTGGTATTTTCTGTTGTTATATTACACGCCTTGGTGTGAGGGGTTTTCAAGTAAGGAGACAGTCTAGTAGTAAGCGTTGGTTTTCGTTCATTTCCGCCTTTTTTCTTAAATATCTAGCCAAGATTTCATTCAATCCAATAATGACTCAATAAGGTTGGAGTCCTTGGTTCAATAATTTTTGGAAAATTTTTGGAAAATTTTTTAAATGTTTTTAATGTATAGTCTATAGAGTGATTTTACTTGACCCGAGAAGCTGAGAATAACAACTAGTGCAAAATAGCTACAAGTAAACAAAAGAGCACAATGGAATTAGTGCAAAATAGCGCGTGGTATTCCTCTAACTATTTCACAGGTTAAGTAACATCACTCTAAAAATTGGGGGACTAAAAATTGGGGGAGTGGATTTCTAAAATTTTGAAAATTGGAAAATATTGGATTATGGGGTTGTTAAAAATTAAATTTTCTCCAAAAAACTACAACCAGCAGACTGCCTCCTTAATTCTGATCGATATCTAATAAGGACCAAGGTATAATTTTTCAAATATCAGAATAGCGAGATGAACATAAGAGGATATATATACTTAGCATAGTTGTAAGGATGAAGTATCCAATACTAGTGGCGGATCCAGACCTTCAGATGGGGGGAGGGAGGTAGGGGCTTGCTTTCACCAGACCCTGGGATGGAGGTAGGGGCTTGCTTTCACCAGACCCTGGGATGGGGGGAGGTAGGGGCTTGCTTTCACCAGACCCTGGGATGGGGGGGGATGGGGGGTCGAGGAGGTAGGGGCTTGCTTTCACCAGACCCTGGGATAGGGGGGGGGGAGGTAGGGGCTTGCTTTCACCAGACCCTGGGATGGGGGGGGCGGCATCAGTTTGGTCTAAAAATCAGTGGGGGGGGCGGGCCCCCCGGGCCCCTCCCCTGGATCCGCCACTGAATACTCACAGGTTGATAATTTATTTATTTTTGCAGCCTCTCGCGTTAGCGACGCCATCTCGATATCTGCTCAGACGAGGTGATATTATGCAAGTTGTGGAGGACTCCAAGAGCCCACTGAAGAGACAAAAACCCAAATTGAAATCTATATGCATGTTTCTTTTCAACGATTTGTTACTCTTGGCCAAAAAGAAAAGGTATGAATGTTAATTGATTGTAGCGGATGATTTAAGCTTGTTATAATTGTTATTTCGTTCAATTTTTTTGTCTTTGTCTTAGTGAAGTTAATAAAATCAAAGTCACAAGTTAGTTGATATTTACCGAGATATTTGCTTAGACTAATATTATTTAATTATCGTTAACGTTTCATCTTTTGTTTTCCCTATCAAGCTAATCTACTAATTTCTTTCAGTGAGAATCGGTTTCAAGTTCTGGATTACGCCACACGTAACATGACCCAAGTGGAAGAACCTCAGGAATTGGATATGAGTTAAGACCACGTGTTCTCGTTGGTATTGTTAGAGAATTCTGACAGTAAAACCAAGGAGTTCTTGATGGCTGCCAACAGCGAGTAAGTAGTTGTAGTATTATGTGTCACCTGATGTTCACTTTTTAATTTCTGTTATATACAGTTGTCTAATTTGTTTTTAAAGGAATTGTGTCACAAAATTTATCAAGATTCAAACAGTAGGAAACGCCACCAAACTGAGTGAACCATAAAAATATCCGCTTAAGGACGGTGCCCACTATTGTTACTACGCACATTTTCTGCGTATGCCAAGGTAGTCACGCGCGACGCGAAAGAAATGCGCAACACGCAGGACACGCGGACTGGTTTTGTCTCCTCTAAGTCTGGGAGGTTCTAGTTATTTCTTGTTGGAAAAGATGCGTCGTTTTTCAACAGATGAAAATAATTTCTATTTACCTTGTCAGTTCTTTGAAAACCGAAGAAGTATGCGCATGTTGCTATTTCTGCCGTATGGTCGATCTGACCGAACATTTTATAGTCAAACAAAATTCAATTCTAAAACATCAAAAGTTATTGCTTCGAGATGTTACGCTTGGAGCTTGGGTATTAAAAATCCCTTAATGGGCAAGGATCAGTAAATCCGAAGGAAAATAGCTCTAAGTCCTCCGCTTAATCGAGAAACTGCAAGCTTACCTTTCACTCGCGTCCTTCTCGTTTTATCGGCTAATCGGCTATAAACACTTTCCCGAATATTTCTTTAATTTTGTAAGATTTTATGTAATTATTCACTAGAAGGTAGATTTAAAGCTTATTCACTAGAAGATAGATTTAAAGCATTCGAGTACACATAAAGATGTCCCTTTTATTGAGAGTCCGAAGCTTTTATTTGTTGAATAAACAAGAAAAAAAACTATCACAAGATTGCTTGGATTGCTGAGATCGCAGCTTCACAAATAGTTGCGGACCGCAAAGGAAACGCTTTCATCGTGGAAAAAATCGTAAAAAATTGTTATGCTTTTTACTATTATCATTGTTATGTAAGCATTTTGCCATTACTAAGCATTGAAATTGTTGACTCATTGGGTAGCTTGTCGTGTAGATAGTATTTCTTAAGGTTCAATTTCACACCACACATAATCTGGACATTTAGACATAGCTGCCATTTTGCTGTTTACAAACGAAAAAGCTGGAAGGCAAAATAAAGTATTTCCATTCTAAGACTTTCTTAGGTTTAACAGACACTGTTAAGTCTAAAATTAACATTTAGGAACGAAAAATAGTGAATGACCATGACACAGAATGCTACAGTAAAAAAAATCAAAACGAAATATATAAAATGACCATTATAGCCCAGTTTATACATGAGGGTACGTAAACGCATTCGGTACGACTACTTTCCCAGTATTCAGCTTTTTTAAAAGAGAGCTCACGTATGGAACTTGAGTCTATTCAAATCATTTATGTCATATGACACTTGTGGCAAAGCCCGAAAGAGATGGCTAGATAGCGCAAAGCACAGATATAAGCTCATTGAATGTATGCAAGTTTTATAATACCATATTCGTTCAAGGTACCGGGTAAAATGATAAAAAACGATAGAAGGTTTACAATCCATATTACATCTACATTTCAAAAAATCTTGAGGACATGTACAGGTAAGCAAACGATTGAAGGCGTACCTGTCTAAGAGTCCCTGTCGACTATTTTCCACTACAGTACAGTAGTTTGTTTACAACACCAGCCTTGGATCTTTAGCTCGCAATACTACTCTATGTGCGCTGGAAGTAATCTCTAATACCTCGGAGATTGCTCTTCTCCAAAAATTTTTGTTAAATTTTTGAGACGGAGAAGCTCCAGTTGAATTAAATAGTATAATTTGTTTTCCTCAGAGTCCATGAAATGTCCTGCTTCACTTTCTGTTTTTGCTCTCTTCCGTGGGTTGTTGTTTTCTCTGACTGTTAGCCATTGTGGATATCCCAGAGTACTCCGCGTTGAGTGAAGCAATAGTGAAACTGACCGGGGAGGGGATGGGAAAAATTGTAAATAACCCCCAAAGCGATTAAGTTAAGGTCGAATCCAACCAATTTAACTTCTAAAAACGCGTGGCAACCCCTACTTTTTATCTTACCAAATGAAAGTAATAAGCCTAGTCGGCAAACGATCAATTTTTGGTTCGGGGAAAATGTCGTTTACACTATTTTTAAGGCAAACGCGTGGAGACGGGTAACTGCTGATAACTTCCCAGTTATGCTGATATTTCCAAAAAAGACGTATAAAGAGCAGTTGTTATGTTATTATTTGTTGCTGATTTTGAAACCTTGTTACAATTATCATTGCATTTGTGCCAGTTCACGTTTACACTCTGAAATTTGGGGAAAAATAACTTTTTATCATTTTTCTTAAAAATGCCTATTCAGCGTTTTTCTCCATATTGAAGCGCAGTTATCTCTGAAAAAATGCGTGCTTACCCCCAGTTTTCTTTTTGGATTTCAATATCCCCTGATATGATCTACTTGTCTCACATAGTCATTATCTGGGAAAAAATACTTCCCATTAGTGGGCACCGTCCTTAACAGTCCACAAATCGCATTAAAAAAGAAATAATGTTGAAACCTCACCAAAACGTGCAAACTCATCCTAATCGACGTGAAGAAAAATCCGATATTATTTTTTTCGCTGATCTTTTTAAATGAATGTTTAAAGGTATTGTTTTTTTCACAACCTATTTTGAAACAACAACAAAACACGGATCTAACTCTATGACGCCCCCAGTCAGTAAAATAATCCAATTTCGAGTTGGCTATCGCCTGTTGAATAAAATGAGTGAAGACGCTTTTTTTTCACAGGCGTAGCCTCCATCTGAAGTAAACATAATCTCAAATTCCATCGAGAAGAAGATCTGTTTATTAGTCTTTCAAAAGACCTCTTTATCTTGTATGTTTTGTTTCTCCAATACAGGTCATGTGATAATACTCTAGAGGACTGTTTCTTTCAAATTTTGTCTTACTCACATAGATATGCAAAGACAAAGGGTGAAGTTCCCCTCGGACCTCTTTTTTGGGAAAACAAAACATACAAGAAAAAAAGACGTCTATTGTATATTTTAAAATTTCCGGAATTTGTGAAGACAGTAGAACTTCGACTTAACAAAGGGCCAGGAGACTGGCAAAATTTGTTCGCTGTAACGAGGTTTCGTTATGTCGAGGCTCTTTTTTCATATATTTTACTACTACTGGGAAAAAGAAAATCATGTGTTATACCGAGGACTTCACTATGTGGAGGTTCTTTTTATATCGAGGTTCCACTTTATTTTACTTTATGTCGAGGCTAACCCTGTATGAAAGTGTCGTTAATTTTTGTATTCAGGGGAACAGGAGACAATTTTGCATGCGCATGCGTGAATCCGCGGAACGACAAGAGAGTTGGCGCATCAACTCTGATGGCGGGAAATCGAAAACTCGCGAAAAGTTACAGTCCTTTTAAAAGCCATT